CGGCTGCTCCCCACGCCTGCCTCTCAGGTGAGCGCCTCGCAGCACGCGCCAGCCTGTTCGCTCGCCTCACACGCTCGGCTTACTCTATGGTCAGTTGAGACGGACGCAGTGGACGCATGGTGGCCGTTTGTCCCCATGGCCCGTGCAGGCGAGGGGCGGAGGCTCCCGGAGGAGCCGCTCAGTGGAGGGAGGGCCCTGGGAAGCCCAGCGGCCGCCCCGCTGACATTTCACGCTGGCAGCCTCTGCGTGGGATCTGCGTGGCTGCAGGACGGGGGGCCCGTGACGGTGCACGGTGCTGGTGTGACGCCGGCGGCTTCCGGGCGGCAGGCGCTGCCCTTGGCAGTGGGGCACGACGGAGTTTCTAGAAAAACCCATGCAAACCCGATGACGGTGCAGAAGGCCGGCCTGAGTGCCGTTCCGTTCCGTTCCTGCGTCCTTGGCGGGGAGAGTCACAGCCTTCTCTCCGGGGCAGGACAGACCCCCGTTTCTGAGCTTTGCTGAGTCCCCCGGGTGTGGCTCGAGCCATGATCGGGTGATCATGACGGGTCCTGTGGGCCCAGCAAGGCGATTGAGTTCCCTTGGGGACAGCAAGGAGGCCACCAAGCGGCGCGGTGGGAACCGCGCCCCTGCTTTCGGGGGGGCACCCTGGCCGAGGCTGGGAGGGCGGCCTAGGCAGGGGTCTTCAGACGCAGGGGCCGCAGGACTTGGAGGCCTGGATGTGGTGAAGGAGGGGAGGGAGGAAGGATGGAAGCTGCCCTCAGTCCTGGCCTGGCGTCTCGCGGCTGGGGGCGCTGAAACGGAGTTCAGGCGCAAGAGGCGGTCTGGGTGGAGAGAAACCGTGTTCGTGGGGCTGGCCTCACGCCCGTGCCGTTACTCCCCGGCTCGCGGGAAGCAGCCTGGGGGTCCGAGTTTCCCGGGACCACCATAACAGATTTCTACAAACGATGAGGCTTAAGACAGCGGAAATGTGCTCCAGTTCTAGAGGCTGGGAGTTAGAGACGACAGGGCTGTGCTCCCGCAGGAGGCCCTGGGGGAGGGGCCTCTGGCCTCTCCCAGCCCCCAGGGGCCCCAGCGCTCCTTGCAGGTGCAGCGCGCCAGTCTCTGCCTCTGTTGTCCTGTCTCCTCCTCGGGGTGTCTCATCAGGATGTTTGTCATTGGATTTAGGGCCCACTCAAACCCAGGATGATCTCATCTCAAGGTCCTTCATTATATCAGCAGAGGTCCTCTTCATAAATAACATCATGTTCGCAGTCTCTGAAGGTTGGGAGGTGGCCATTATCAACAAGGTGGGGGACTTCACTCTACCCACTGCACTGGAGCGGCACCTCATGCTCTGTGGAGGGCCATGGGGCTGGCCTGAGCTGGCCTCCCCCCCACCCCCACGTGACCCGCTCCTCTGTCCACCTATCTGTGTCCGCCAAACTTTCCTTGTTGGGAAGATCATTCCTCGCTGCTAGCGTGGGAGTGGAGGTTTAACAAAAGCCCACCAGACAGGTGGAGTACAATTAGAGGGCGAAACAGGACGTGAATAATTCATCCAGCTCTGCTGGGGGCGGGGCTCGTAAATGAGTCTAACTACGCGGGTTCCCCAGGGAGGGCAATCCTGCCGTGAGCCTCGCAAAGCCCCGTCTGCGCGTCGCTTCTTGAAGCCGGTTACGAAAGGAGGAGAGGCACTGGGGGTCAATCCTTGAAGCGAAAGGGCACTCTGGGGCCATGCCCCGTCCCTCATGGTGCAAATGAGGGAAACTGAGGCTTGCAGAATGGAAGTGACTTCTGCATGTGGCACTGAGCAGTCCAGAGAGAGCTAAGATCAGACGCCCAGGCCAAAGCCCATGGCATCCAACCTAGGGCCAGTCCCTGCCAAAGCCAAAGCCGCAGGGCACGGTCCCTGCTGGGCCAAGTGTCTCCAAGTTTACCAGCGCGGGGCCAGGTGGGGGCGCGTCCGGGAGGGGCGTTGGTGATGTCTCTCCGGGGCATCCTTGTTGTACTACATGCAGTCCTCTTCCGCACCTGCGCTCTTGTTGGGGGTCCTGCTTTACGACAGGGGGCGCCTCAGGGGCAGCCCCCCTCAATGACGGATGCCTTTCACGCACCCGAGGCACCAGGGAGCGGTGGGGCAGCAGGCACGGGGGTCCTTGGTGAGCGGAGCGGGCGGTCTCGGAGAGGCCGCCCGGGGACCAGGTGGCCGCGGCCCCCGGTGAGATGGCCACGCGCTGCCCCCAGGCCGCTGGGCGTGGCTCTGGGTCGTGGGATTCAAAGACGAACGTGACCGTGACTGTGGCTGCGTCTCCCTCCACCGGGGCCATGTGGAAAGGAAGGCTGTGTTTCACATCGGTCTCTCCCCAGCACCCTCTTTACGCAGAGTCCCTTTTTCAGAAACAGCAAGTGAGGGCTCTGGATGCTCGGGCCGTAGGAACCTCAGTCCTGGGCTGCCAGGGGGGACAGCAAGGCCAGCGGCGGTGGCTTTGGCGTCGCAGATACCTTGGCTCTTTTTCCCACTTAACCTTCAGTCTCATTTTCGGCAATTTCACCTCTGCTTCCCATCGCACCCGAAAACCACGGTTTCCGGGGAAACTGCTTCGGGTACGGGTGGCGCACGCGCTCCTCAGCCGCCCCTCGGGGTTCTGAGCTTCTGGTGAAGTGTGACGTGCGCGTGGGTGTCGCGGCCGCCTGTGCTGCTGATCGCACGGCTCAGCAGCTCTCCCCGTGGTCTATAAACTCCCATGTATACGGACATTTACAGAAAATGCCTCTTTCTCTTGGGAGAGGAGGCAGCCTGGGCTGGGTGGAGGAGGGGCTGTCAGGAGAGGTCCTGGAGCTCCCCTTGGTGTTGGGGTAACACCAGCGACCCCGGCGACTGGCACTCGCTGAGCTCAGAGATGTGCCGGGCAGTGTGCCAAGGCCCTGCCTCTTCTAACCTTTGCAGCACACCTGAGGTAGGACTGTGAACCCATTTTACAGACGAGGAAACTGAGGCCTGGAGAAGTCACCCTTCATCATGCAGCCAGGAGCCAGCTGCGCTGGGATTCGAACTCCAGACTCTGCCTCCGGGGCTACGGGCACGTGCTGACAGGGGAGGGGCTTCATTCAGAGGGAACAGGCTGTGCAGAGCCCCAGGCAGGGCTGGGAAGGCCAGAGGCCAAGGCGCCGCTGCTGGGTGGGTGGAGAAGGCCAGTAGGGCAAAATGACCAGTAGGATCCGAAGCCAGAAAGGTGGATGAAGAGGCTGGTGTGCGCCCAGCCTTGAATGCCACGTCAGGGGGTTCCGATTTGCTGCCGTAGCAACAGGGAGTGGACGAGACTGCAGCCTTGCCCCTCACAGAGCCCCCCGGACAGGCTGCTTGCCCTCCCCGGGCGCCCATGTGTCCGTCAGGGGTGCCGCCTTGGCAGGCAGCAACAATTAAGCCAAAGATCAGCTTAACTGAGGCGGAGCGGGGCTCTGGTCCCGCAGAGCTGCTCTAGGACACCACCGATGGGGAAATAAAAACAAGCCGTTCCAGACACCTTTCTTGGCGTGCCAGGGAAAGGGGGTGGCGATTCCCTCTAGCGGAGAAGGCCCCGAGCCCCTGTGTCCAATGGCTTCTATTGAAAGGGTTATCAATGGGGCTAGGTAGTAGGAATGCACAGGTGATCTCATTACAGCAGTGTGTTAATGTTTACAGAGAATAGAGGATGTTTTGAAGAAAACAAATGGCAGGAACACACCGATTTACTTGGGTGCAAGACAAAACTAGTAAACATAAGAATGCAAACATAAAAGCGCCAAATGGTTTAGGGGAAGGGTCTGTAAATAATGCACACTTTCTTTCCAGCATGAGTGGGCCATCACCGTTTTTGAGGGGAATACAAAGCGTGCTTCAAGGGATCCACTTCCTGGCCTGATTTGCCCCGGGAACTGCCCGATACAGCTATGGGCTGCCAGGCAGTGGGGCAGAAGAGCCAAAAGATAAGGAGGCTTCTTTCAGAGAGAATGAGGGCTCCGGCCATATGAAACCGAGGGGTGAGGGTCTTTTGCCCTTTCTCTGTGTCCCCCAAGTCCTTCCCTGATGGCCCCTAGTGACTGTGCCTGACTTAGGTTGCCCCTGCCATCGAGCCGTCTTACCCACCATTGATTAACCAGCCATCTCCGGGGCCAAGCAGGGTGATGTGAGGGATTTTGTCTCCTCAGTGGCCTATTTTCCCAAGGCCTCCTTGCTTAGCTCCAGCCTGGGGGCCCTCTCGCCTGCTGGCGAGGCTGCCGTTCCTGAAAGCAGGCGGGATGGTTCCCAACACTTAATGGCCCCCAGTTCGAACAGCCTGGGGGCATGGCTTGCGGTGCAGCCTAACCCAGGACTCAAAGCGAATCGCCAGGTCTGTGTCTGCCCTTCACCTTCAGGGCGGTCTGCCCCCCCTCAGGCTCCTGGGCTTCCCTTTGTTGGGGCAGCAGATCCAAGCCCCTCCCCCCCGCCCGCGGCAGAGGCGGCGGAGCGGCCCCCCGCACTCCCAGTATCACAGGTCCTGGGGCCCCTCCGCGGCCGTGACCCGCACCGTGTGCAGAAGGAGGGGAGTGGTGCTTGGGGGGGGCCCAGAGGCCACTCACTCACCCAGGCACAGGTCACAGCGAGCCCTGCGCGCCCTAGGCGCCCCCCCTCCCATGCTCCTGGCCTTTCGCTGGGCTACTGACAGGGAAGGGGCATGAAGCGGGGAGGCCGCAGGAGTCTCCCTGTGGGGGCCGGGGACAGGGGCACCGGGTGGGCTCTGGCTGCGGAGAGGGCACAGGCCAGGAGGGAGGTGGCATGTCCAGCCTTGGGGGGGACCGTGGATGGGCACCCAGCAAGGGCATCCGGCAGCGGTTTGACGTGCAGTCCTGGGGGCTCTCTGGGGCGGGTGTTTGTCCAGGAGTCTGGGGAACAGAGAGGCAGCTTGGCCGGGTGGGTCTGTCAGGGAGGCGGGCTGGGAAGACCCGAGGGTCCCTGGGCTCAGGAAGGCCGAGGAGCTGGACCCCCTTCCTTGACCCGGCAGACATCGTGGACATCAAGCCGGCCAACATGGAGGACCTCACGGAGGTCATCACCGCCTCGGAGTTCCACCCGCACCACTGCAACCTCTTCGTCTACAGCAGCAGCAAGGGCTCGCTGCGCCTCTGCGACATGCGGGCCGCCGCCCTGTGCGACAAGCACTCCAAGCGTAAGTGCCCGCGCGGGTCTTGGCTGCGGCGGGCGAGCGGCCAGCGGAGGGAGGGCCGTGAGCAAGGGTGAGGCGCGTGTTAGAGAGGGAGAAGAGACTTCAGGGGCGGCGTGGGGCGGGGAGGGGCATCCCCCATGGGTGTTCGCAGGAGAAGACACAGGGCCGGGCCGCAGGGTGGCGCGGCAGAGGCCAGAGAAGTGGGGATGGCAGGCATTGCCGGGTGGCATGTGGACCAGGGCGCCTGCGCGGTTCGGTTTGTGTGCTGGGGTGAAGGCGGGGCCCTTCACTGGCACAGACGCACGGGGTGTTTGGGACGCAGCACGCGCGAGAGCCTTTGCGCTGCGCTCCAAGGAGCGGGAGCGGACAGCCGGGGGCCGGGGCGGAGCCTGGCTGGGGAGGACGGCGTGGGGCTTTTCTGTGAGGGGACGGATGGGGAGCCCGGGGCCACCTGAAGGTGCCTGGGCCGTGAGTGTGCGCATGGCCAGCGTCACGCCAGCAGCCCAGGGCTGCATCTGTGCCCTAGCACCGCCCTAGCAAGAGACCACAGACTGGGGGCTTCAAACCCGCAGTCTATTCGCTCACAGCTCCGCAGCCCGACACGGGTCTGACCGGGCAAAAGCAAGGCGTGGCCGGGCTGGTTCCTTTCTGGCAGCTCAGGGCGAAGCCCCTTTACTCGTCTGTCTCCCCCCACCCTCCGAGCCAGCGGAGGCCGCTTGGTGTCTCTCCCGCTGCCTCGCGCTGGCCGACTCCGCAGCCTCCTCCTCACTTCTGAGGGCCTTGGGATGACGTTGGGCCCGCCTGGGTAACCCAGGACCCCCCCATCTCAAGGGCAGCTGGTCATCAACTCAGGTGCCCCTTTGCCGTGAGCACAGCATACGCACCGGTCTGTGATGAGGACGCCGGCAGCCTCGCGCGGGTGCCCCACCGCCGGGGCCGTCCCTGCCCCCCGGGGAGCCCCGTGGGAGGAAGGATGAGACGTCACGGTACCTCCTTGTCTCTAGGGGCCAAAGTTCAGAAACACGCTGCATGTCCACCAGAGCAAACGACCATGACGTTGGTGTCACAGAACAGTGTTCAGTCCTTTCAGGTGCTGATTTAGAAGGTTTTTAATGGCGTGGAAGTTGGTTATGTTACAAAATTCCACACGGGAAAAGGCACAGCAATGCCTGCCAGACCAAACAACTGGAAACAGAGAAAACACTGGAAAGAAATATTCCGAGAAAGGGTGCCCAAGGGAAGAAGCAGTTGTCACTTTCCTCTCGACCCGTGTCTCTGTACTTGCACCTCAGCTGTGGGTTCCACTCTGAGTCAGGGACACGCGTGTGCAGGCAGAACTGTGCTCAGGGGGACAGACAGTTCTGTGAGCCCCACGATGCTGGAGGATGCTCTCTGGTGGGCTGGACAGGGACGTCTGAGACATCCCCCACCCCGGGCCTTTGTAACTTTGTCACCATGTCCCTCCGGGGGTCTGGGCAGGCCGAATGGCCCCCCACCGGGGCAGCAGCACCTGCACCTTCCCCAGGCGGGGGCCCCTGCCTCACTTCTTGGCGTGAAGTTATCCCAGGCCCGGTGGCGAACGAGCTGCATGTGATCCAGCCCCGACTGAAATGTGAGAACCATAACCTTGTTTTCAGTAACTCAAACCTTCCCCACCTGCCACCGCCCCCACCCCCCGCCCAGGGCTGCAGTGAATGTTACCTTTGGGCCACAGTGGAGTCATGGGGCGCACACGGTTCCAGAAGGCTCCGGCAGGGCCAAGGGGTGAAGGGAGGGACATCGCGGCTTCTGGCCGCCGAGGGCTTTGGCTGTGCCTGGTGACGCTGGGACTGGGGTTCTTGCTGAGAAATTTTTACCTAAACGTGTGTCGGTGAAATGGGTCTTTGCCTTTCCTACGCTCTCTTTGCACAGCGTTTTTAAGATCATTCCTCTCTTGTAAAAATGAGCCAGGCGTGTTTTTCTCTCGTATCCTCAAACGGTTAGTACAATATATTCAAGTTTTAGTAAAACTCAAGTGTAAATCTTGTATTATTGGTCTGCACAGGTTGTCCATTGGCGTTGATTTTGTATTTTAAAGTTTGTTCTCCAACTCGGTCCCCTGTGCAGAACCCCCGCCCCCCGAACGCAGAGGCCTGCGGCTCGCCGGCCCGGCCCCGCCTTGGTGCTTCTGTTCCAGGCGGCGAGCCGTTGCCGCGTCTGTGCTTTGTAGACTTTGTCCAGGTTGCGTTCACCCTCAGTTCTCGTGAGAAATGAAGCAGCAGCCGATGGCCTCATAGCAGGTGGCGGTGTTGTTTAGAACGCAAACGATGGTTATTTGAGCTAGATTGTTTCTTTAAAGAGGCACGGAGATGAGAACTCTATTTGCGTCTCACTCCCGTGCACCCTGCTCCCGGCTCGGGGACTGGCTGAGGGGGACGCCCCGAGGTGGGTGCTCACGGCGTCACCTCCCCAGCAGGCGCCACGGTGGTTGCCGCGCGCTGAGTGGAGGGCGTCCTGGATCCCAGGCGGACGCTCGGGCTGCCGGTGGGCGGAGGAGGCAACGGAGGCCTGGAGAAGCGCAGCGGACCCCGAGGCCTCTGCCGGGGCAGAGCTGGGGTGCCCGGCCATGGCGGCGGCCCACGGCTTCCTGCCTTCCTCCAAAGCAGCAGCAATCAAGGTCTTTTGTCTGCTAGTCATGATGACAGCGTAACCATGGAAACAACCGCACAGGAGTCCTCAAAATAGACAGTTATTTCTGCTTTTAACAGCACAGAGTCTGCCAAAAGGAAGGGCTGCGCCAGAGCCGGGAGGTGATAATGACAGCCGCCACCCCTGCCGGGACCCCTGCTGCGTGCCGACCCGGTGCTGGGTGGGCTGGCCGCCCCAGCTCCCACGCGCCCCGCGCTGCGCTGGCGCCTCGTCAAACCCTGGGACTTAATGCTGTGACGGAGGGAGCATGCCATTCGCTTCGCAGACGCGTGTACTCGCTCCCTGTGGCTGCTGTAACAAATTGCCGCACACTTGGGGGCCCAAAATGACATAGATAGGTTCTTTTACAACTCTGGAGCTCAGAAGTCTAAAACCCAGGTGTTGAGAGGGCTGTGTTCCTTCCGGAAGCTTCAGGGGAGAATCTTCTAGAGGCTGCCCGCGGTCCTCCTCCATCTTCAAGGTGCGGCACCCCCCACCCCTGCCTCTGTCACCCGCCTCCTCTCCGGCCCTACCTTCCTGTCCCCTGTCAGGGCCCCTGTGGTCCAGCCACCCCTGGGGAGACCGGGACAGTCTCCGCCTCTCAGGACCCTTAATCACGTCCGCAGGCTCTTTATCCATGGGAGGCAACACACGCCGGCTTCTGGGGCTCCACGTGTGCGCCTCTTGAGGGGCCACCGAGGTTTACCACATGGAGGCACAGAGAGGTTAAGACATTTCCCCAAAGCCACACAGCGAGGCGGATCCAGGAGAGAGGCTTCCGTAGTCTCTGCCTGTCAGCCTGTGCTCTTTCTCACTTCATCTTCGCAGAAGCCTTGAGAACTACGAACTCTCGGGGGCAGGGCACTCGCAGCCTGGTCAGGGGTCTGGGGTGGAAAGACCAGGCCCAGCCACGCTCTGCGGGGGAGGTTCCAGAGACCTGGGTGTGTGCAGAGCTGGGGCGCCGTCTCCCAGCAGGGGGGACGGCCTGCGTGCAGGCCCCTGGGGGCGCAGGAGCAAAGCGGCGGCGGGGGGGGGGGGCCGTGAGGTCGGAGGGGCAGGCGTGTGGCCAGAGGAGGGGCCGCGCCGAGGGGGCTGTGCAGACTGCGGGAGGGGCGTTAGGGTGGGAGTGACCTGGCCTGGCTGTGTGGGAACAGGGTCCCCTGGCTGCTCTGTGGGGGCAGTAGTCTGTGCGGTGGGTGCAAGTGGGGGCCAGCTAGGAGGTCGTGAGTTCACTCCAGTGGGAGGCGCTGGTGCTCTGAGTGGGTGGGCGGGGTGGGGGCGTGGAGGTGGGCAGGTCCTGCACCCAGTGGGCACTGATGGCAGAGGCTGCGGGCTTGGGGCTGAGAGGAGACACTGGGCTTTATGGAGCGGGCAGCCGACGCGTAAGTAGGAGCGTTCAGGCGGGGAAGGTTTCTGAAGACGCCCGTCCATGCACCGTGGGCCCTCTGATGCGCTCGGCTCTTAATCAAGATGGTTCCCTGCAGAGTTGAAGAGGACGGGAGTGGACAGAGATGGGCGAGGGGGCGCCTGGCTGCAGGGGTGAGAGGCAGGCTGTGGGGACACAGGCCCCGAGGTGGGGCCGACCGCGGTCGGCACTGCGTTTCATTTCTTGTGACGGGGTCCGTCGCCCGCTGAGGAGCAGGGTGCCGTTGCAAGCACAGAGCTGTGCCCGCCTCCTGTAGTGACTCTGGGCCCTGCCCACTCTGCGCTCTATGGGGGCGGTTAGACGGCCGGGGCGGGGAGGAGGGGGTCGGGGGCAGGATGGCTGCCACGCATGAGGCTTTTTTCAGCACTGGCTTCGTGCGGGAGTGACGAGGTGCCGGGGGCCTGGGGCGCCCTGTGACTCACACCCCCACGCCTCCTTTTACTGCTGCACAGTTGGCCCCCCATCCCAGAGCTGTGCCTGAGGGTGGCTGGCTGGGGCAGCCTGGACACGCGTGCCCATCCTTCACATGGGTGTCCTTGTGCAATATCAGAGCAGAGGAGGGGCCTGTTGCCGGGGCAACCAGGAGCAACAGCCGGGCAGGACTCCATGGGCTCCCTGCACCCTGAGCCCATCGCTTCCTGCCTTCCCCACCTCCATGGACTGCAGGCCTCTGACCTCTGCGCACCTGCCTGTGGCCCTCCCAGCCCTCAGTTGTCCCTGAGTGCGCGGCGCCAGCCAGTGCAGTTCTGCCATCTAACCCCGATCCCTTTTCACCCCGGCCCCATCTGATCAGTTCTGCCCGTCCGGTTCAACACTCGCCCCTTCACGCCCAGAGAAGACCACCTCCACCCTGGTGACAGTGCGGGACGTAGCCGCTGCCGCGGAGGGGGACACAGCAAGAGCCGTGGGCACGCGGAGGCCACACTGTAGGCTTCCCTGCGGGGCTCGACCCTTACGGGGAAGTGTGCCAGGCCGGGGCCGAGACGTGTCCGCGGCGGCCCAGAGACTGCGCCGCGCGAGCGGCCCCGGGCCCTGTGCCGGCCTCCGGGCTGGGTGGGAGGCCACGACGGCAGTGACGGAGGCCAGGCCCCTGTCCCAAGGGCGCTCCCGGCCCCACGAGGTGGCCGCACACCTCTGCTGGCGCCACGCACGAGGGTGAGCACTTCATTTCTGCGGAGCATCTGGACAGGGTGCACAGAGGGCGTTTGAGTTGAGGTGCGAGAGGACGTATAGGAGCTGGTGGGAGAGTTTGGGGTTAGAAATGGGAAAGGACATTTCAGGGAGAGAAAGCGTGAAAAAATAACTACAGAAATAGAGTTACACAGTCGTATTGAGCAGCTCCTCCCAGCGCCTCGCACGGCAGGCGCCTCCAGGTACCACCACCTGGGGCTGCCACTGAGCTTGGCCCCGCCCCTCTGCCTGGTGTTTGGCCGGGGAGCCCTGGGCAGCCTAGTAGGAGGCAGGCGTTTCAGGCGGCCCAGGGAGGGGGGGGGTTCCTGTTCCGTGTGGTGCTGCCCTGAGGGCTTGCCTGCCCCACCCCCGCCCCAGGGTGGGGGCTCCGGCCAGAAAGGGGTTGGGGTGTGGCTGTAGGGGTTGGACTTGGGTAGTGGGACGGGAGCAGCAGGCTGGGGGGCCTGATTCGGAAGAAGCTTGCCAGCCCCACGCAGGAGCTTGAACCTCGATCCCGTAGACGTTGGAAGCGTGCAGGGTTCTAAGCAAAGAGGGACACCGGCGGAGTTGTGTGTGGGGCCGGCGTCCCCTGTACCGCCCCAGACGCACAGGTGCTTCAGAGCCTTGGCTGGGCCGCCCAGGGCTCCTTCGCTTTGCTCTGGCTCTGTGGGGTGTGCTTCTCCCCTGTCTCCTGCAGGTGGCAGTAGTGACACCGTGAGACACCCAAAGAAGAGGTCAGGGTTGTCAGGGAACCAGAGAAGGCCAAGAGGTCCTAAATTATGCAAAATCATTAAAAGGAAGTAGAATGGAGCTTTCTGCTGATCCAGAGCCGTGGGGACTTTAAAACGTGGGGGCGAGGAGAGGCAGAATTGAGCCCATCGCAGAGGACGGGCTCTGGGATGGTTCCCGAAACTCTGGCGGCAGTAATTACCGTGAAGTGTCCTCAGCGACTCCTTCAATTAGAGGGGCGGCCCGCGTCTCTCATTAGTGCCCCGGGAGGCTTGCCGTTGTGTGGGAGGGGGGAGGGGTGGTTGGGGCCGACGCAGGGAGGGCACAGCGGACTCTGCTGTGCGTTGATGAAAAAATTATCATGAAATAATCTCATGGAAATGTTTAAAAAGAAAAACCAGAACTTTCCGTGCAGGCTTCTTAAAATCCTTCCCCGTTAATCTTTTCCAGTTCTGATCCTTTTGTGTTTAAAAGCCCATCGCGCATGCCCAGTAGAGCCAGAATTGAGGTTACAGCAGGCCGTTTGGGGTCTGCTGGCCACTGTTGGTTAGATCTTCCTGTTGGCCTTCCACCCGCGCGGTTTCCTGACCCTTGGAGCCGCAGAGGACGCCATCTGTGGCTCGGCGACATCCTGTGTGGGCGCACCCACCGCGGCGGTCTGGTGCCTGTCCACCGCCTAACCCCGCCCCCCCGCAAGGCTGCAGCAGCGGGGGGCTCAGCTGGGGGCTGGCCAGGGAAAACCGCCGAGGAGGGCCAGGGCGCAAAAGGCGCCCTCAAGGCTGGGGAGCCCGAGACAGGCCCAGCCTTATGTTTCTGTAGCTCACCTTCGGCCCTGACCCCACGTGGCAGGAATGCACCTACCCGGGGTGGTCCCCGCTGGGAGCTTAGGGCCCCTCCTCTCTCAGACCCTCTGCCTGCTTCTTTCCCAGTGTCAGGTCTAATTGGTCATTTTTTCAAAGTAAGAAACCCAGTATTGATTTTATTGCTCTACTCCAGGCTTCTGGGAGGAAAGGGACTGCCCTTTGGTCGCGTTGGGACTGACCAAGGAAAAACTCTGAACGTCTGTACCAGCAGAAGTGAAGATGGCAGTGGGATTAGTATTACTGCCCAGGCACCGAACATGATTTTGTGAGGCGACCAGTCAGCATTCAGGGGTGTTGGAGGCCGACGGTGACCTGCCCTCCAGCAGGCCTGCCAAGGGGCCTCCCAGAGCAGCCAGCACCCCGCGTGCCCTCGCTCCCTCTGCACCCCTCGGCGCCTCCCCACTGCCGGCGGCACGGCCTCCTTCCCCTGGCTCCCTGCGCCTTGCTCACTCCTTTCTCTGTCTACACAGCCTTCAGGTTGCCCCAGCCTCAGGACCTTTGCACAGGCTGCCCCTCTGCCTGGAGGGCTCCTCCCCTTTCCTCACTCAGACCTCTGCTCCCAGGCACCTCCCCCAGAGGCCCGCCCCTCCCGCCGGCAGCCCCACCCCTCCGCCTGCTCTGTGTTTTACCTCCAGGCGCTCCTCACTGACGGAGTAGCGCCTCCCGGAGCATTACTGTGCGCCTCTGCGAGGAGCAGGGCGGCTCCTGGGGAGAAGGGGCCTTGCGTTGCTCTCGGCAGCTTCCCGGGCCTGGCACCGGGTGGACATCCGGCGTGGACTGGGTGAATGAGGGAGTGAATGCATGAGTGAATGAGTGATTACCAGCGAGCATGTGATCAGCCACCCTGCCGAGGGCGCTAGGGGAAAGCTGTGTTTCGGGGAAAGGCAGGAACAGCATCTGCGTTGGACAGCAGGGAGAAAGGGGTACGCGGATGTGGGTCCCAGGGCTGGGACAGTCCTGGGAAGTGGGATAGGGGACCTTGGGACCAGGAGGGGTGTCAGGGAGGGCACCTGTGAGCCTCTGGGGAGGGGTGACCGGCTCTCTGCCCCCAGCATCGGCCCTGGGGAGGGGTGACCGGCCCTCTGCCCCCAGCGTCGGCCTGGAGGCTCAGCATGGGCCGGCCGGCTGGGCAGCCACTTTGCTGGCTTCCATGAGGGCAGCCGGACAGGTGGTCAGATGTTTAAGCCCTTCCCGGCTGGCGGGTCCGTGGCTGCCCACCCCCAGCCTGTCCTCCCCCTGATCCCGGGCCCACCTGTGGCCAGGTCCTAAGGAGCTCGAACCCTAGTTCCCACCCCACTCCAGCCGCAGGACCACTGTCGGATCTGACTGGCCGTGGGGGCGCCCGTGAGCAAAGGGGTGGAGCAGCCAGCTGTGGACAGGAGCCTGGAAGAGCCCGAGCAGTGCCCGCCTAGTCCAGTCCAGGACGCGCAGTCCAGCACGTTGAGGAGGTCAGGACCCCTCACTGCCCTGGCGTTTGGCGTCACCACCAGGAGGCAGGAGAGAGCAGCAAGCCAGTGCCTCTGGGTTCAAACTCCGGCTCCACCCTCTCTCCCAGCTCTGAGGCCACGGCAGGATCATCGGCCTTCTGTGGCTCAGTTTCCTCGGGAATAAAAATACTATTTTTATCGGGGATTAGATGCATTAATGCACAGAACAGGCTCAGCACAGACTCTGGCTCCCAGTCAATGCTCAAGAAACATTGCTGGTTCCTCCCTCTTTGGAAGATCCGTTCTGGGCCGATGCCCGAGAGATATTCAGTTACAGGTGTGATGAATGACTGAGTGACCGTGCAGCGTGCACACAGGGCAGAACAGGGTCATGTGTCAGTCCGAGGCCGTGGGCAGGAGCACCCAGTGACGGCCATCTTTTTTTTTTTGCCTTTGCAGTCTTTGAGGAGCCCGAGGACCCCAGTAACCGCTCCTTCTTCTCAGAAATCATCTCCTCTGTGTCCGACGTGAAGTTCAGCCACAGCGGCCGGTACATGCTCACCCGAGATTATCTCACGGTCAAGGTCTGGGACCTGAACATGGAAGCGAGGCCCATCGAGACCTACCAGGTGGGCTGCGGCGCGGACGCCCTCGGCGCCCCTCAGCTGGTGGGAGACCCCAGCCACCCTTTTCTACGCTGAGGGGCTTGCTCACGTATGGGGGGCTTTCAGAGGCCCGCACTGTAGGCGAAGACACTGTGGCTCAAGAAACAAAGCCGACATGGCTTGGGCAAGGGCAGGAGGCCCTGCCCAGCCCCCCAGCCTCGCAGGGCGCTGTGTGTCCCCTGCCTGCGGCCCCTGCCCTGAGGCCGGGCCGGGGCGGGCCTGCGGTCTGGGGCCCAGGGCAGCAGGAGGAGCATCGGGCTGGGCCCAGCGTGAGGGTGCACATGATGAGGGGTGCGGATGGCGGCCGCCCCCCCGCCGCGCTCTCCGGGGAGTGGCCTCAGCACACGCGGGGGTGAAGTGGGGGTGCGCTTCGTGTCTGAGTCCTCAGCACAGCGTAGGGAGAGGCATGGGGCGCCTTCCCGGAAAGTCTCCATTATGTATTATTCTTCTGTGAGGATTCGTCCAGATGATATGTTAGGGAGTAGAACACAAACTTCAGGAGACTTGGAAGAAATGTGGGACGGCTATAAAGTTGCTTTGAAGCTGTTTCCAGTTATGCCTACAGCTGGGGAGGTCAGGGAGGCAATTGGGAGGAGGCGGTTTGTGCGGGAGCTTGTAGATTTGGGTTGTGCAGCTGTGAATCAGATAACACCCCCCACTCCGAGAAGCCCCAGACAAACCCTCATGGTGCCACCAAGGTGCACTCGGGGTTCCACACACTGGACATCTGTCACCTCTACTCCTTACTGTCCCTGGGAAGGGGGTGCCAGTTTGTCAGCCAGTTTTGCAGGCAGGGAAGCTGGGGCTCTGAGAGCCTGGGGTGTGTGCGGGCTGCCTCCCTGGCAGGGCTGGTGGTGGGAAGTGTCCTGGGGGTCAGAAGGGGCCCACTGGGAAGGGACACAAGGTGGAGAGGAAAGGACCAGGTGGTCCCAGAAGCCACGTGTCCACAAGGATGTCTGGCGTGGTTCTGGTCCGTTACCTCCTTCCCGAAGTTTCCCTCCTTTCTTGGATGGATTTGTGAAAGGGGCATCCACGGCTCCTTGCGACAACCTCCGTGTCAGCCACGGGTGCTTACGGGGTGCTGAGGCCTAAGAGAAGTTAAGGGCCTGAGCGACCTGGGACAGGGGGTGCCCTCGAGGCGGGAACAGCAAGTGCAAAGGCCCCGAGGCAGGGACACGGGTCGTGTGGTTAAGGACTGTTGAGTGGCTGGCTGGATGCGGTGAGCAAAGGGGAGAGAAGGAGAACCTGAGGTCCGAGAGCTGACGGGGCGCAGCCTGGGGGACTGGTGGGCAGTCGGGGTGTTGAGCAGAGGTGTGACGCGACCCCTCGGGCTGCCCCGGGACAGACGGGGGCGCGGTGCGGGCAGGGGCTGGACAAGCAGGAGGAGGCGTTTGCAGTAAGCTTGGGGGCGGTGCGTGAGGCGGGGCGGCTGCCTCTCCCTTTCCTCCATGACGGGCACACTGTGCTTGCGTGACTGTTACCATCGGGGGCATGACCCGGCACCGTGCGGGGCCCCGCACTCGGTCCCCAAACAGCCCAGGGGGTATGCCCTCTTACCCCTTTAAGGATGAAGGAACCAAGGCTCAGAGTGGTGAAGTCACTTGTCCAGCATCACGCAGCTGGGGAGGGGCGGAGACAGGATTTGGTCCCCTTTGCCCCTCTCTGGCCGCAGCCCAGGGGTGGGCCACGCGGCCTTCCCCGGTGAGCTGGGCTGACCCGGGAGTGCCCCCAGACCTGGAGGGCGCCCCCCGCGCTGCTCCGCGAGGCCCTCCCCGTCTGTGGCGGGGCCAGGGCCGCCGGGCGGCCCCTCGCCTCACCTGGCGCCCCTCTCCCGCCAGGTCCACGATTACCTGCGGAGCAAGCTCTGCTCCCTGTACGAGAACGACTGCATTTTCGACAAGTTTGAGTGCGCCTGGAACGGGAGCGACAGGTAACCTCAGACCTCGGGCCGGGTGGGGCCCCCAGGAAGCGGTGGGGCCCTGAGGGGGGTAAAGCCGTGTGTCCAGGGGTGGGGGTCTCCTACAGCTACTGCTGGTCCCCTGGAGCCCCCTGGCCCACGGGGCCTCCAGGCAGGGCTGTGCTCTCCGACAGAGGGACCCGCCTGGTGGTCACAGGGGCCACTTAAGGGTGCTGAGAAAGCTGGGATGGGGGTGCCAGGCTGAGCCTGGGCTGAGGGGACACCTGGCATTCCCTCCAGGCACCTGTGGCGCCCAGGCTGACCCCAGATCTGCCCAGCGAGGACAGGCTCCTTGGGCATCCGCCCTGAGCTGTTGGCCCTAGCACATGGGGAGTCCCTTGGCAAACACTGCCACTGGGTCTTGGGGTGGGGGTTCTATTCTTAATGCTGGTAAAAGGTAAATAAAACTGTGTGCATGCGGGTTGGGGGCCCCCAAAGGCTATGACCACTGCCTGCCCTTCCTTCACGTTGCCACTAGGTGGTGTGCAGGAACAGGCGAAGCCTGGTTCTTCCTTGTTGCCCAGGGCCACCGCTTCCTGCCATGCACTTGACCCTCCGGCCACCCCCAGCCCTGATGGTCCCTGCTGCTGCCCCCATTACTGTCCCCCGCCCGCCGTAACCCGCTCTGCTCCTGCCCCTGGAACGCTGCCCACTCCTGCCACCTCCCATTACTGACTCGACTCAGGGGTACCTCCTCAGGAAGGCCTCAGGGACCTCTCCAACTTGCCCCAGCGCCTCCTGGGCTTTCCTTCCTTGTCTTGGCATCTGTCACACTTCCTCCGTGCCTGCGGTTGCCTCCCACACTGGTTGGGGCGCCCCTTCTGAGCCGCTCTCACGGGGCTTGGGAGTGCCCGGTCTGGAAGGCACAGGTGAGTGCCACCTCCTCTCCTTCGGCCCGAACGCTCCTCCGAGCCCTGCACGCCCTGTGGATGGGGATCTCGAGACAGATGAGCCCCCGGTCTCTGCCTCCCAGCAGCCCAGAGGCCAAGGGGGGCAAGCGCTGCCCACCCAGGCCCCGCCGGCCAAGCGAAGCTGAACCCCATGGGGCCAGTGTGTGCCGCCCCCTCCTGCTGATGGGACACTTAGAGTCCCCGGGGTGCAGATGGCTGCGTGGACTGCGGGGGTCTGCTCGCCCCCGCAGCGGCCCCTCACCCGCCTCCAGCCAGATCAAAGCGGGCGGCTGGGGCAGAGGAAAAGTTAGGATGCAACGCCCTTGATTTCTGGCCCACAATCCACTGTTCTCCAGCCCTGTGCAAGCCCCTGAACCTCCCGAGTCTGCCCACCTGGAAGGTGGTTCTAGAAAACGGCGACCCTCCAGGGCTGCTCGGATGGAGGCTGAGGCCCTGCGTGTGGAGCTCCTGGCCTGGCCACAGGCCCGCAGTGGCCGTGGATGGTCCAGTGATTTGCGTGCATGGGCCTGTTGTCCGCCCTGGTCACCCACTGAGCCTCCGAGACCCGCCTCAAATGCCACCTCCTCCTGGACGCTCTCCTTGATCTGCCTGGGAGGAGAAAGGGATTCATGTCACCAAAGCGTCCTCCGGCAGGAGGAGTCAGCTGAGTCGAAGCCGGTTCCGAGCAGTTCCGGGCACGGCCACCCCAGGGCCCCCACTGGGTCTTTGGGGCCATCTCCTCTGTGTCCGCTTTCACCTCTACGCCCTGCTGCTTCCCCTTCCACTCTAGCCTCCTCCTCCCCTATCACAGGCATCGCCCCGTTGCCGCTGGGGGTGATGACCCCCAACAGTGCCCCACCTTTGTCCTCACAACATCTACCGGGGTCTATGAAAAATTCCCACAGAAGGATCTGATTGGTTCTGTTTGGGTCACATGCTCCCCTTTTGAGCCAGTCAGCATGGACATGGTTATAACATGCCACCGTTGGCTGGCAGGGGACAGGTGGAGTGCTGGGATTGACAGGTGCCCCAGAACCACAGGGATGGGGTGCAGGCGGCTTTCCCAGCGGAGAGAGGAGAGCTGGGGAGCGGGTGCAGCCAGGCGCCTGACGCCGCGTGCAGAGGAGGAAGATGCCAGCGGAGGGGAGCCCCTTGCCCAGGTGCAAGCCAGGGCAAAGGCTGCCCTTCACCCTGTTAAGAAAACCTTCTGGAATGTGAGAGAACATTTAAGAATGTGAGCGATGGGCCATTCTGCCCTGGCCTGTTGTGGTTTGCACGGGGCCTGGACCTGGTGGTCCCAGGTGGGAGACCCTCTTCCTGCAGGTGGCGAGGAGGCTCCGTCTTCCCTGGGTCCCTGGAGCGTGTCAGCGGGGTCCTGTCCCTGAACAGAACCAGGATTAGCAGCTGTGGGTTGCAGCTGACTTCAAAGGCCTGCCTCTCCTTCCCCTTCATTATCAGCAGAAGAATGGGTGTTGGGTGGAAGTGCCCACTGGGTGTGACGTGTTTGCTGAAGAACAAAGCAGGGCTGCCTTTGTGGAGGGAGGGGTGTGGCCCTGGGCCCCCAGCCCCGGGGACGGGCAGGGCCCTCCCCTGGGAACCTCCCCTGCTTCCCCGTCTCCCAGGCCCCGAGGATTACCGTGGGAAGCACCTGTTGGCATTTGGAGGTGGGGGGGTCCACAGGGCCCACCGCCTTTCTAAGTGCCAGGCTGTTATCTCGCCCACGCCCTCAGGCCCTCAGAGGCGGGGCTGGGGTCCCTCGGCCTCCCCGGCCTCCCCGTGTTACAGACGGGAAAGCAGAGCCGGGAGGGGACCCAGGCGGCCGGCGGAGCCCCGCACCTGCCTGCGCTGCCGAGCCTGGGAGAGAGCCTAGGCCTTTTAGTCCCCGTAACTCGGGTCGGGGGGCAGGGCCTCCTTCCCCATCTTTATGGGGGAGCCAGCTAGTGGCCCCAGGTCACCCAGCCTCGGGGCCACCCTGCCTGGCTCCCAACCCCAATCTGAGCTGCTGGCAGCCGCTCTGGCCGGTCCCTGCCCAGCGGGTCTGCTTGAGGGCCACGGTGGCACCCACCTCAGGTGACTGAGTCCACTACGGGCCGGGCTGCTGTGGGGCCGACAGGCTCGCCAGGTGGGTCGGGGGCCTCCAGGGGACCCCTCTGCTCCGCAGGCTCTAGGCAGCGAAAGCCTAAGAGGCTGGGGTGGCGGCCACAGGGTGAGGTCCGGTGGCGGGCGTGGGCGCCCGGCTCTCCCCGGGGGAGGGAGAGAAGAACCCACCTTCTCTCGCTGTCACCCCAGCATGTCGCCCCAGGGTCCCACGGCCGGCACAGCGGGGACCCGGGCGGGGGCAGGAAGGAGGGCAAGCAGGAGCCACCTCTGGAAAAGCTTGGCCCACAGGCGCGTGGCCCGTCAGCGCTGACCACGGGCGCTCCGTTGCCTGTGGGGTCCTGGCAGGTGTGACCCAGCCTGACCCGGAGCCTGACACCGTGGGTGCCCCTCAGGGCCACGGGCACGTCCCCCCTTGTTGTCTGCTCAAGACAGGCCTGAAGGGGGCGCTGCCAGATGCACACATGCGCACACGCGCGCGCTCTCTCTCTCTCTCTCTCACACACACACACACACACACATGCACACACCCCTCTCATGCTCCCACAGCCCTTTGCACGCTATTCTCCTACCCCCGGGGGAGTCGCTCCCCTCCGCCCCCATGGCTGCATGGGGACCAGGGTGGCAACGGGCGGGCCACTCGTTATTGCCAGGGTTAACCCTAAGCCCCTTGCCCCCCCCCCCATTCCCTGGCCCGGGGACACTTTGGCACTGAGGGCTGTGTGGCCTCTCCTGCTTCCCAGCCTCGGCTGCAACGCCAGCGTCACCTGACCCCAGTTCTGTCCTCCAGCACGGTGTCCCCAGGCCTCGCGGGGGCTCTCCGCAGGACCTGGTGCCGGGGCGTGTTTTCTAGAACTGCTCTGGGCCAGGGACTTTGCTGCCACCCTCTCCGTCCAGCCTGGCCTCTGTCTGGAGCCCTCAGTTAAGGCTGAGGCCACTCCCGGTGATGGCCTGGCCGAGCGTCCCCCACGAGGGGGCCTCCTGTTGGCTGAAACGGCCGGGCGCCGGGATGCTGAGGGGCAGTCTCTGGCCCTCACGCCTCTTCCAAGGACCGCGTCACCACGCTGTCTCTGGTTCTGGGGCGTTTTCAGGCTCAGCGGGCTCCCTGCCACCATACTGGGAGTCCCGCTGCTGTGAGGTGTCCCGGGCCCTGACCGAGGGGGCAGGACGGGGGCCCAGCCTTCCCTCCGGAGTGAAGGGGGCTTCTTCAGGCTGGTGGGAGGCGGCGGGCCCGCTCCTCTCCGAGCAGCCGAGCAGCCGGGGCGGGCTCCGCACACCTCCGCCTCCTGGCGCCGCCACCTGCTGCCTTGCGCCTCCACGCACGTCATTTAATTGTCTCAACAACAAACCATTCTATTCACATGAATTAAGGTATCAGAGGCAGGGTTTTAGAAGAGAAAAGAATAGAGCCTGAAAATACATTCGCCTTCTCTGCCCGCCCCCTGCTCATCTCCAGAGATGACAGATCTCTGGAAAAGGCAGGGCTGCCTGACCGGCCCCCCCACAGGCGTGGGCCCACCCCCACCGCTCCCCAAAGAGGCCCCTCCACGCGCCGCTGGCCCGGCCTGGCGCAGAGGCACGGCTGTCCACCGGGCCCCACCGGGGTCCACACGGACGCCCCAGGACATCCACGGGAGAGCCAGCTTACAGAGGGGTTTAGCCCCATCGCCCCCAAACACCCAGCCACCAGTCTCTGAACATGGGGTCTGAGAAAACAGTTTGGGTGTCAAGGGCTGGTGCCCCCAAACGCTGCCATTGTGCACGGTGGGCTCCGGCCACACCCAGCCCTGTGGGCGCACGGCCACCTCCAGGCACCACACTGGCTGCGCAGCGGAGCCCAGAGCCGCTCGTGGGCCAGAAACAAAAGGGAATTCCTGGCCCAAAGCGGCCAGGCCCCAAGCCTGAACGTTCTTCCTGTGAAGAACCAGAACTCCGAGCGGCTGGCTTCTGGTGAGAAAGGAGAGAGGAGAGTCCCCTTGTTTTCTTTCTTTTTTAAAAAAAGATTTTAGCCCTGGCTGGTGTGGCTCAGTGGATTGAGCGCTGGCCTCTGAACCAAAGGGTCACTGGTTCGATTCCCAGTCAGGGCACATGCCTGGGTTGCGGGCCAGGTCCCCAGTGGGAGGTGCACAAGAGGCAACAGCACATGGATGTTTCTCTCTCTCTCTTTCTCCCTCCCTTCCCCTCTAACAATAATGAATAAATAAAATCTTTTTCAAAAAAATATTTTGTTTATTTTTAGAGAGAAGGGAAGAAAGGGAGACAGAGAGGGAAACATCGATCGATGGGTTGTCTCTCGCACAGGCCCTGAGGGGGGACCAGGCGTGTGCCCTGACTGGGGATCACACCAGCGACCCTTTGCTTTGTGGGACCACACCCAACCCACTGAGCCACACCAGTCAGGGCAGTCCCCTGGTTTTCATAGTAGATGGACAGACAGAACATTCTCCTTAGCAACACGGGGCAGGCCTGCGAACAGCTGCGCTTTGGCCGCTTGCAAACGGCCTTCATTGGGTCACTCAGCTGCACAGAGAACGGAGCGTCCCGGGGTCCCGCGGGGAGGGAGGCTCGGGCTGACCCTGAGGCCTGCCCTTGGTCAGCCCCCGGGTTTGTAGCCCAGTGTCTTCAGCGTTTGTTCCCCTCGCTTCACCCTGTTGTGGCCTCGTCTCCTGAAAGCCTGGGGCTCTCCTCCTGGAGCAAACGGGGAGGTTACAGGGGAGCAGTTCCTGATGTTTGGGGCAGAGCACTAACAGGGCTTTGGCTCCTGGCCTTGAAGTCTGGGGACGAGACCCTGAGGGAGAGGGGTCCCTGGGGCCGGCCTTGCCCCACGTCCAGTCTCCTCCGCAGCCCCCGGGGTTTGTGTTTTGAGAAGGGGCGGGCCCCCTTCCCCCGCCTGACGCCTCTCCTTCTCCGCCAGCGTCATCATGACCGGGGCCTACAACAACTTCTTCCGCATGTTCGACCGGAACACCAAGCGGGACGTGACCCTGGAGGCCTCGCGGGAGAGCAGCAAGCCGCGGGCGGTGCTCAAGCCACGGCGCGTGTGTGTGGGCGGCAAGCGCCGGAGGGACGACATCAGCGTGGACAGCTTGGACTTCACCAAGAAGATCCTGCACACGGCCTGGCACCCGGCCGAGAACATCATCGCCATCGCCGCCACCAACAACCTGTACATCTTCCAAGACAAGGTCAACTCCGAGATGCACTAGGCTCGCGCGGAGCCCCGCCCAGGAGCCCGCCTTTCGCGGCTGTCCCCGGCGCGACGGTCAAGCAGCCCCTGGGGGAGAGGGCCAGGCCTGTGGGGCGGTCGGCCCTGCTGCCCAGCCCCTCTCGGGGGTTTCCCCAGCCGGGCTGCCTTTGCTGGGGGTTGTTTAAAACGCAGAACATAAAGGAGCCGCAGCCGCAGATCCTAACGGGGACGTGACGGCCGGCCTCCAAGTTCAGGGTTCGATCCTCCCCGCACTTGACCTGCCTGCGGTCTTTACCACATCGTTAGGGTTTTTACATCTCCAGGTTAATTTTTCACTCCAGCCGTCCCTTTCAGGGGACGTGGGAGCCAGTGGGAGCTGTTACTCTCACGCGCCTCAGCGGCCCCAGGTCGGGGCTCTGGGGACAGAGAATGAAGCTCAGACAAGCCAGCCGGGGGTCCTCTGATGATAAAGGGGGTGGTTTCCACTGTCGCAGAGCTGAGGGCCTCCCCTTTGTGCTTTGGGTTGTGAGTTCATGCTGAGACTTTGGGGCTGCGCGCCCACCTTTTAGGTTCTCTCCATTTCTTTCAATGTCCCAGGTCTGTTAGGTTTCCGAGTAGAAGGGGGCGGGGGGTGGAACCTTCCTGTGTGCGCCTGGAACTCTCACCTGATTCAACCAGCCTTTGCTGCGGCGTCGGCCATGGGCCAGGCACAGCCCTCAGCCCTTCAGGGGCGTTGACGTAACCCCTGTGCGCCCTCATTCCTCCTCGGTCGCCGGGCGCCTCATGGGAACTTACACTCGCTCTGTCCTTGACCTCCTGGAACCTGCCTCCCGCACACCAGCGGCTCGCTGAGGGCCAGGCTCTACGTCAGGTGCCAGGGGTGAGGAGGTGGACGGTTTGTCACCCCCATTGTCACATGAAGAGGCAGAGGCCCTGCGACAGCCTACAGTTGCCCCAAGGCGGGCGCCAACCACATGGCAGCGTCTGGAACCGCCCGGGCCTTCACATGGGCGCTTCCCTGCCCCTGTCGGTGGCTCCATTTGACACCACAGCCTCAGCTGGAAGGTGATCCTCCATGTGAAGCAGGACAGAGCAGGCGGGACAGCGACAGCGTCCCAGGAGCCCCGGGGTGCAGGAGGGAGAGTGGGGAAGACCCCGGGGCTCCTGGCCCTGCTTGGTGGTGCTGGGCGTCCGGCCCGCCCGCTGTCCCCCTGCGCCCACGCTCCACCTGGCTTCTCTCCTGATGCGCCGAACCGCCTCCAACCGAAGATTGCATGTTATGACCATTTTAGGATACCTTTTCTTCACTGACCACACAGTCTCGGGACACTGGCCCCCGGGCCACAGAGGTCAAGGCCAGCCCCGCCCACCCCGCTGACCCCCACCCACCTGCTGTCTTTGCCCAGCAAGGGCAGCGGATGTGGCTGTGCATCTCCATTCCGAAAACAGCCTGCGCAGGCCCCGCCAAGCCCAACCTTTTTTTTTTACAAGATGTCACCTGGCCCAGGAAATAGACCCACGTGAGACCTCTCTCCGTGGGTGACAGGATACCTTTGTGTGTGTCAAAGCACAAAACGCATGTGCACCCAGCTCCGGCCCGACGCTATTTACACAAGGAAATGGGTCCCTTGGTGGTTTTTTTTTTTTTTTTTTTTAATCAACATGAATGAAGAATGTTTGTTTATATATCATTGTAAAATCCAGGTCCTCTGGACAGTATTATATGTACATATCTATCCTAATGAAGAGGAACAATCACAGGACTGGATCCCTTTTACCCCCTTTGTAAAGAGGTTTGAGAACGTGGTAAATTGTATAGAAATCTTGCTGAAGCCAAAATCCAGCTCTGAGGGCCGGCCTTACACGCTTCCCGGGACGTTTGGCACAGTCCAGGTCCCTCCGTGAGTCAGGGCCGCGAGGCAGCTCACGGTGGCATCACGATGGCAGCTGGAGGTGACTGTCAGGTCGGATCCGGTAGTAGATTAACACTTTCCTTCCACCAAGGACACACCTCTCGCTGGATTCAAAAGGAGGTCTTACTGCAGCTCCTAGTTCCTTACATCGGTTTTCCACGTTGGATACCAAAACAAAAAGAAACGTAAAACAAAAGGAAAAGAAAGCAAACGATCTTTTCAGAACAAAAGTCTCTCTTTGGATCCCCTGGGAAATGACGGCCAAAGCAAACCGTGGATAATAAACCCCGTGTTGAGAAAAGGTTGGGGGAGGGGCGGAGGGGAGGGGCAACGTGGGCAGCGGCCGAAGGACCAGGGACACGGTCACGGACGTGGCGTCCTTACTCTGTGCGGATTCTCTGCTCCTGCGGGCTGTGTGGGCGTCTCGTCGTCCTTGTGAAGTGGCTGGGTTGTGCTTGTTTTTGTTTCCGTGCTCCCCGAGGACAGGGCTCCTGGCGGGGCGCAGCCGGCGCCGGCGGCCCTGGTCCTTCTGGGCCCCGTAACTCATAGGTGCATTGTTTTCTTCGGTGTCTCACAAATTATCCAGCTGTTGAATAAAATTATAAATATGTGAATACCAGCTTTTTCCAATAAAACAATCAATGTTACATTGACAAGGAGGCTCGGCACGGTGCTTGTTCAGGAGGAGGCCCGGCGGGGGCGGCGGGTCCCATCAGGGCGATAGGGCAGAGCGGGGCGCACGTGGGAAGCCTGGTCTGCCTCACGGCTTTGCTGCCTGTGGCTCCTGAGGCTGCTTCTAATCTTTCCAGGCTCCCATGTCCTCACCGAGGACGTGGGGCTGACAGTGACATTGATCTCGTCGTTCTGGGCGGTGGAGGGGCGAGATCACAGTGGATACACCTTCGAGACCAGCGCCTGGAACGCAGGCCCCCAACACACAGCAGTTTGTTTGGAGCTGATGCGTGTAACCACGCTGGTTTCCAAAGATTCTCTCTCTCTCCCATGATCTTTTTTGACCCTCGCACGCAACATGAGGGTACGGTACAGATGAGGCATTGAGGGGCAGAGAGGTTAAGGCACTCGCTGGCGACCGCGCGCCCGCGTGCGTAGGCACTGGGTCTTGAGCGTGGCCTGGCTAAACCCTAATCCAGCACTCTCCTGAAGAGCCCGTCTCCCCCACCCCCCGCCCGTGCCTCCACGTCCCAGGGAAAGGGGGCCCGAGAGGACAGAGGCCACAGGGCGTCGGGGTTAGTTCTGGGAGCCAGAGGCCCAGCCCCGCCGGCTGCGGTGGCTGAGATGAGTGAGGACGCCTGGGGACACATGTGGGCAGCACCCTCCTTGCAGCCTCGGCCTCGCCCTCCACGGTCAGGGGGTGTTTGACCCGCCAGGCCCCATGGGAGGGAGGCGGGCAGGAGCTGTTCCGTCTGCTCTGCTCTCCGCCAGCCACACAACCCTCGGGACACACGCGAAGTGGGAGAAAGCCGCCTCCTGGCTCTGTGGCCTTGGGGGTGTGGCTGACCCCGCGGAGCTGCACCTGCGGGACAGGGGGCACTGCCGTCCTGACCCCATGGCACCACGGTGCGGGGTCACACACACACATGGGGGGGACGTGACGTGTCGTCTTGTTTAGACGTCACGTTATCCCTTTGGAGGTGGGATTCAGCATACGGGCCCCGAGGAGGGGAAAGTAGCCTGGGGGATCCTGGGGCGGGGGTGGCCTGTCTGCCACAAGCGCCCTGGAAAGCGGAGCCCCTCTGCCAGCTGTGCTCAGAGGGAGCTGCTCCAGTGGGAGGAAGCCGGGGGGTGGGGCTGAGGTGGGACCCGGGCGGGCGGAGGGAGGGGCACAGGCCAGGGTGCGCAGCTGCTCCGGGAGCTGGAAGAGGCCTCCGGAAGGGACCAGCCCTGTGCACACCGTGACTTGAGCCCAGGAAGGCCCAGGTAAGACCTCTGACCGCGGGCTGTCAGGGGTAAATGTGGCGTGGGTTAAGCCACTGTTTGTGGTGACCGCGGCCACGGCCAGCACAGCTGAGTGCCCTCAGGCTCGTCCAGCTGCTTGCTGGCGTCACACACACGTGAGTGGGCAGCCATTGGCGAGCTTCCGGTGGTCCTTGCGGGGCGTGCAGGCTGGTGGTGAGATGGGGCTGCCCGGGAGGACGGCCCTGGGCTCGGGGCTGCGGCCGCGCCCCACGCGGAGCTCTGTTCTGCACCCTGGACCTCTGCCTGCCGCAGACCGTTGTCTGCTCCGATGAACACGCCACGGGCACCCCGCCTGTCCTCCGCCCTGGAAGCCCTGAGGCCCCTCACTTCCCGGGCTCCCTCCGGCCTGGCGCGTGGGCCCAGCGCCGGCCCAGCAGGCTGCCAGCGCCCTCCCTGCCCCGTCGGAGCCCTTACTGTGTTAACTGGGGACACCTGGGGGCCGTGCCCGGCGCCGGGCGCGCTGCTGAGAGGTCAGTGTCTGTCACCCTGCTCGGTCCCACCCTCCCAGGGGGCTGCGATTCCCCTCATGGTGCAGATAAGGAAACGGAGGCACAAAGACGGGGCGACTTGCCCAAGGCTGCAAACTTGCGAGTCCCGGAGCCGGGATCAGACCTGAGGCACTGTGGCCCCGAACGGGGGCCCAGACTCTCAGCCACCTGCAGGTCCCTGCAGGTGCTTTCTAGGGGGTGTCTCTGGCCACGGCTCTTGCTGGCCCTCTGTCGGAACTTAGTCCACGCCCCGTCCCCCGAGGCTGCTGACCGAGAGCCTGTCCCCCGCCACCCTCTGCTGGGCCAGGGCCTGCACAGGTTCAACCACCTGATGAAAACCTTAGCAAAGGCTCGCCAGCTTTGGGGGAGGGCGGGCCTCCTAGCAACTGAGAAGCATTTAGAGCAGCTGTGAATCACTGCGCAGTTGTGAGTGATTCATTGCAAACACCTAGGCCGTTCTGTGAAAAACAGAGCCCCATCCACCTGGATGCCGTCAGCACGAGGCCCCCACAGCCCAATGACGTGATGACTTCAGAGGGGGACTGAGACATCTGCCCCAGGCAGCAACATCAGGCCCAAAACGGAAGTGGAAAGGAATCCATTGTTACAATTATGCCAAAGATGTCAAACAGGCAGCAGAGATACAGATGTCTGGAGAAGTGCATTCTTCCTTTAGGACCTTTGAACAGCCCACCCGAGGTGCAGGCGGCCGTCTCGTTCATGGACGTGCCAAGGGAACGAGCTGCGCCTTGGAAGGGTCACCAGCTATCTTTGCAAATCTGTGTATTGTTCCTTCATTCACTCAGCAAACGTGTTCTGAGCACCTGCTCTGTGAGCCGCACGGGGTCCCGGCGGCCGAGGTTCGCATCCTGGCTTTGATGGTGGCTGTGTCTGTGGGAACGTTACCTCCGCTTTCTGGGCCCCGGTCTGCAGCGTGCGGACACTGACAGCACCCACCTGGGGGGCCGTGGGGTTCAACAAGAGAACCTTTGCATCTGTGGTCAGCACAGAGCCCGCCCACACCCCTATCCCCGCTCCCGCAGCCAGTCAACGACCTCGTCGCTGTTCCCGTTCACTGCGCCGAAGCTTTAGTGAGGTCTTGCTACGCCCTACCACTGGGTCCCAGCCGTCCCTGGGGCCACTGGGAGAGTCTGGGTCCACGCTCAGAATGAAGAGGCCTCGCTGAGCTACAGGAGGGAGGGGGAGCTGGGGGAGGAGGGTGGGGAGGAAGCGGGGCTTTGCTGGAGCCTGGAGCCAGCAGGCTGACCGAGCCCGCCAACGCCAGCCAGCAAGGTCCAGGGGTCCGCGGGCTTCCCCAGGCCCTGGCTGTGCCGCCCAGAGCCTGGATTTCCTACCGCCAGGCAGCGTGGACAGGCTGGGGGGACGGGTCCGTCCAAGGGTCCGGCCCCTGCTAGACAAGGGTCCGTGTGCGGCCCGGGTGGGGCCGGCCCAGCTCTCTGCCCTGGCTCTGGGGAGCCAGGAGATGTGTCTGAGGCCCCGTGGGATGGAGACCCTGTCATGGTGCCATTTCTGACGTGACAGTCTGAGCCAAGGGGGTGGCTTCCCTCCCTCCCAAGGCTGGTGCAGAGGGAAGGACAGGATGGGACATGCCTGTGTCCCTTCCAGTCCCCTCCACTGGCCAGAAACTGGGCACCTGGCGGGCGAGGCTGCGAAAAGGGTTTTCTCGGGCGGTCGGAGACCCAGCTCCAGGCCAGGGCTTCCCCCGGAGAAGGTGCCTGTGGGACAGGGAGCTGTCAGTGCTGCAGAGAGAACGTGGGTGCCCCTCAGCCTCTCCAGGGCTCGCGCCCAGCGACTCCCGGAGACGCCCTATCTTTGCCCTTCCAATAGGACTTTTCTGCCAGACTCAGTGGGAATCATTTCTGCAACTTGCCCCCCAGTGACTCCGATGACAGAAGAGGTCCGTGCCCACCCAGCGTGCCTGCTATGGCGTGGCAGGGGGCCGCTCCCGGTTCCTGCGTGAGCGCCTAAGGGCTGATTCACCCAGACAACTACACGCAGCGACGGAAAGTCACGACTCAGTGATGGTGAACTGAGCAGGCAGGTTCCTGGGGGAGGCGCAGGGCAGGGGCAGCGGGGGCAGGTCCCCGTGGGCAGGCGTAGGCGGGGCTGCAGGGGAGGCTGAGACGCTGCCCGGGAGGAGCAGGGCCCTAAGACAGGGACCTGGCTTTGCCCCGAGCTGCAAGCCCCGAGCGGCTCTCTCAGAACAGGGGGGCGCCTGTTATTCTGCCCAGTGAGGGCAGGGACCCTCAGGAGGCTGCGTGGGGCAGCGAGGAGTTTTGGTCTGAAAACCCCACTTTCGGGCCTGCCTTTATCAGAGCAGCGGGCGCACCGTGGTAACGGGCAGAGGAAGCGTTCATCGAGCTCCGACGCCCGAACCTGCAGATCAGGGGTCGGGACGGTCGCGGGGCCGTCGCCAGATGGCAGAATCGAGAAAGACAAGGTCCTGCTTTGTGGGCGACTTGGCAGGAATCTGGTGTTTGCCACGTGAGAGTCCAGTTATTTACAACCCCGGGGCCGCAGACCGCTGCCTGTCCAGGGCCTGGTAGGGCTGGGGCTACACCATGGGACGTGAGCAGCAGGCGCGCGAACAGAGCTTGGCTCTCATGACCGCCGTCCCCCCACCCCCCCAAAACCGGTCCCTGGTGCCAAGAAAGGTCGTGGGCCGCTGAGTTACAGGACGTGGGATCAGGGCACCGGAACGCAGCTGAGGATGGAGAGACACGAGTAACTGAACACGGAGTAACCGGCAGGCGGCGGCAGCTGCAGGTCCACCAGGAGGCTGGGTGGTCTTTCTGGGCAGTGCGGCTGCGCAGAGGGGCACCCCCGGGGTGCTCCACGGGGTGGGGCTACGAACTGCGCCTCTGGGTACCCCAGCCCCTCTTCCCAGAGCTCAGCCTGGCCCCACCAGGGCCCTGGCTCCCCCCTTCTAACCTGGCCTGGACCTCAAGCTCAGTCCTCGGGACCCCTCTGGTGTCCAGGACGTGCCTGGGCCTCCCAGGGATCCCTGGCGGCGGGATCATCTCCTCTGGCCTTGCCCAATCCAGTCCCTCCCCGTGCTCTCAGCGTGGGCAAGTCCCACTCCCAGGAGCCTCCCGACGGGTCTCTCCCTCCACCCTCACCCCCACCGGGTGCAGGTGCATCCTCCTGGGCCCCCACGCCACTTCCTGCTCTGAATGGGGGCCTCCCCCTGCGACTCGGGTGAGCCTCCTCAGGGCAGGACCTGGGTTTGACTCGCACTGGGGCCCATGGCTCTGCTCAGCACCACGGCGCAGTAAATATTTGCTCAAGGGTGGCAGCCTGGGGCTCAAGCCTCATTAGTTACGCTGAATAATGTTTTAGGCGGTAAGTCCCAGGGACTGGCCTGGCTTTCCTGGCTGTGCAGTGGTGAGGAATTAAACCGTGACGTGGGCAGAGGAGGGGCTGTGCCTCCCCCGGCGCGTGGGGGAGGGACAGACAGACACCCTCAGGCACCGGCCCTCTGCCCGCCTGACCCAGGCCGCCCTGGTCTGCTCCCGTGTAAACAGTTATTTTCACAAAGTGTAAGTTTCTAAAAAGCCAGATCAGACAATTCATCTGGTTCTGAAGTTCTGCATTTAATGCCTTCTTTAAAAATTCACAGATGTTTAGTGAGCTTTTACCAGTGCCTGATCCTATTCCAGCCACCTTGCAAGAAAATGAACTCATTTAGGCCTAAAAGCCACCCACGAAGCAGGTCCTGTTATATCCCCGACTTATGGGAGAGGAACGTGAGGCCAGGCAGGCGAGGACCGGGACGGCTCGGAAGGCCCCGAGGGGGGTCCGGACGAAGCAGCTGGCCTCGTGTTCCCGTCTGCCGCGTCTCTGAACTTAGAGGCAACCCTCGTTTTGCTGTAGGCTGGAGGCCTGTTCTTGTTTAGTTTCTAAAACAGGTTTCATTACTAAGAGGTTCTGAAAACCACGGACTGAGCCCTGACTTCCCGTTTCACAGGTGGGGACGGGTGGCCCGGGACTGACCGAACAGCTCCAGGGCACGCAGGCGTCTGTGATGGAGGCAGGAGTACAAGCTGGGGCCCAAAGGCCAATCCGGGGCAACCCCAAAGACAGCAGCGGCACGCCCCTCCCCACTCCAAGTAGGCGGCTCTGCTGGGGTGCCTGCCACGTGCGGGGGGCGGCCCAGGGCACAGGCAGACCTCCTGGTTGGTCCAGTCCTGGCTCTGCCACTAATGTCTGGTGTGACCTCCTCCCTGAGCCTCCTTCTGTGGTTTGCGGTTGTCAGGGTACCTCCCTCACGCAGGGCTGGGTCTAGATGTCACCTCGTGAGCTCAGAAAGCACCAGTGGTTTCCCGGTCCCCACCCCCCACAGTGAGTGGTGAGTCTGGGGTAGCAAGGCTGAGCTGCGATGCATTGTGTGGATCAGTGAGGGGGACAGGGCTGCCCTTGAACCCTGGGAGGCGGGGCTGCAGGCAGAGCATGAGCAGGCCTGGCGAACCGGGCGGCAGCTGTACAAAACCAGGAACACCCGTGGACTTGCCATGTCGCGGGGGATCTGAGCTTCACAATCGCAACCGCACACGTCGCAGACGTGGTCAGACCCGAGTGGTCGCTGTCGCGGCCAACGGTGCAGGGGGGCCTGGCCTGGAGGGGGTGCCCGGTCTGCTGGAGGCAGGCGGCCTGTCAGCCCGAGAATGTCAGCTCTGCTCTTTGGGGCGCAGGCTGCACTTGCCTTGCTTGAATTCAGTGCGAGTGTACGCACCTGCTGATTCTCAGGCACGTACGAGAAGGGGCTTCTTAGAAAAGAAGTGAAGGACCGCAGATTCCATCACAGGCTTTTATTTTGGCTGCTCTAGGACCCTGCCTTTGCTCCCCGTGACGGAACATGGTAAGCTCTTCCAAGGGCTGGAAGGGACACCCCCAGGTTCTATCTTCCAGTCCTGGTGGATTCATGCGAGACCCTCACAGACTCACCCACTCCCCACCAGAGAGGAGACGCGCGAGGCAAGCTGTGGGCCCAGGGCCCAGCGTGGACACGCTGTGCCCGCCTGGGGCAGCTGCTTCCCCAGCCTCTGGTCTGGAAGGAGCCAGGCAGCGCCTTGACCACATGACTGTTCAGGGCGCTCTGCAGAGAGCCCACGGGACCGGCAAACAGCTGTCCAGGCTTAGCAGCAACCAAATAAATAAGAAGTGTTTTGTTGTGTTTACACAGCAGCACATTCAAAAACCAAATCCAACACAGTAGTGAGGAAGGGGCCGGAGTGCTCGGAGGGGCGGGGGAGGGAGCAGCCAGTGCAGTGTTCTCAGGACAGGGATCCGGTCCCGTCTGGAACACCAGCTGCACTTGGGAAGGTCAGGACGGGGGTCAAGACCGTGCATGCAATTGCCAACGACACCAGGCATTCCAAGGGACAGAGCTACGGCCGCCAGCCATTCGCAGAGGCGACCCGACTGCACGTGCACACGCGAGCGCACACACGAGCGCACACACGCACACGGACTCAGCGTTAGCGCTGCGCTGCCTGACTGCGGCCGCCTGGGAGGGGTGCCCTGGTTGTGGCCGGCCCGACACCGCACCCCCGCCGGGGACGCGTCTTCACACGGCCGACAGGAAGGGGAAGAAGAAGAAGTCGAAGGCGAACTTCACGGCACTGTGCACAGTGCTGCGCCAGTCCTGCTCGACCTTCACATGCCGCTGGGCGGGCGACAGCTGGGCCATACAGTTGAGGCAGCTGATGGCCTTGAGCTCGAAGACGGGCCACTTGCTGCCCAGGCGGCCCTCCAGGACGGTGCTGAACTCGACGAGACTGCCCTGGCGCAGGCGGAGCAGCACGTCCTTGAACTCGCTGCTGGCCCGCAGCACGATGTCCTTGGTGACGTCGTCATCCTCCGGGCCGCGGGGGCCGTTGGCGCCGAAGGGCATGCCCACCGTGATCTCGAACTTGTAGCGGTCGAACCGCTTCATGTGGCAGGGGTGCTTGGCCAGCAGCTTGAGTCGGCAGAGCTCCTCCTGGGCCGTGGAGGCATTGCCGGGGCTGCAGGCTGGGTAGGCCTCGCCGTACAGGCAGCGCATCCAGTCGCCAATGAACAGCGGGAGCATGTTGATGGCCGACTCGGCGCTGTTGTCGATGTCCGTCACCCGCACGTACTTGAAGCGGCCCGTCCAGGTGACCCTGTGGCCCTCCAGGTGGCTGCACAGGATCTGGGTGCGTGCCATGTTGGTCTCCTTCCAGGCCCGTGGCCCGCACAGGGAGCCATACTGCGGCCAGGTCAGCGTGGAGTTGTACACCTTCATGCCCTCCGAGCGGTACACGTAGATCCAGCAGAACAGCACCACGGCCGAGATCCACACCAGGATGAGCTTGACGATGGAGCTGCGCGTCAGGGACTTGACCATCTCCACCACTGAGAAGTTGGCCTTGGTCCACCAGCGGAACAGCAGGGGGACGCTGCAGACCACCAGGGTGACCACGATCTTGGTGAGCTCCAGGGACACGAACCAGCGGGCAAACTGCACCAGGCCCATGAGCGCCAGGCCGGTCAGCAGGATAGGGAGAGCGAAGAGGAAGAGGAAGTAGCCGATGGATGCGCGGACCAGCCCCAGGCCAGTGGACTCGAGCAGGATGACCACGGAGAGCTCGCACCACATGAAGCAGACCAGGTAGGGGACCAGGTAGCAGTAGGTGCCCTTGAAGTTCCGCAGCTGGGCCATGCGGAAGAAGAGGAACAGCAAGTAGACGTAGAGCAGGCAGGGGATGCTGACGTTCAGCACAACGAAGTGGCCGACGGGCACGGTGAAGAAGGTCTGGCCCAGGAGCTTCAGACAGCGCCAGTCGAAGGGCAGGGAGGGCAGGAGGGAGAGCAGGCCAGCGGCCACCTCGGTGACCAGGGCCCTCCGGGTGTAGGGCTCGGCGGAGGTGCTCAGGCTCATGTAGCTGGTGACGGTGAAGAAGACACACACGACGGCCAGCTCCGAGCAGGGGACGCAGTCCTTGCTGGCGATGGGGAAGGAGAAGATGACAAAGACGACGGACAGCAGGAAGTAGACATAGGGCTCCAGGTGGTTCCAGCCGAAGTTGACCTCGGCCTGCTCCACGTCCAGGTTGGGCTCGAAGCGCAGCAGCAGGCCGGTGAGGGTGCGGAAGCTCTCCCAGGCCTTGCTGTCCTGGAACACCTTGAGGGTGCAGATCACCATGGAGAGGAAGGACAGGTAGAAGACGACCAGGGGCACCACGAAGGCGAAGAAGTCGATGGTCAGGTTGCTGATGATGAAGAAGAAGATGAGGGCGTTGATGTGGTGGGTGGGCACGATGGTGGAGAGCCAGTGCATGCCCGCCCGGGAGGCCATTTCGATCAGGTATTCTTTGATTTCCATGATGGCGTGCAGGGGGTACTTGACCACCTGCAGGGGAGGGGGAAGGAAGGCGGGTGTTGGGGCCAGGACCGGAGCCCCGCTCACTGTCACCCCAACCCCAGGCCCTCCCCTCGCCCTGCAGCGCCCCCATCCTGTGGTCCTGCCCGCCCCCCGCCCCCCAGCCCCTGGAGCCCCTCCCCCACTCTCCTCCCCCGGCCCCGCGTCTGATCCCCCTGCCAAGGGTCCAGACGCCCCCCAACTGCTGGTCTCCCGGCGAGACCTCGAGCTTCTGGGGGAATCCCCCTGGCGCCCGCCTCCCTCCCCAGTGGGCACCGCAGGACCACACCCTGGGCTGCCTGGCTTGTGTCTCCTCTCCCCCTGCAGTGAGGACGTCACCTCCCGCGTCCCAGCTCCCCATGCACTCAGGGGGACTGGAGCCGGTGCCCCACAAGCCACGCTGGGCTCCCCGCAGCCCTGGGAGTGGCAGCAGGAGCAGGGACTCCAGCAGTGACTGTGACAAGCAGGAGCGTGGCCTGCCTTTATCAACTGTGAGGGGGCCTGGAGAGACCTGTTCGCTAGTGTCAGGGGATCTTAAGAACCAGCCGCCTGCTACGCCCACCCCGCTACACACCCACCCACCCCAAACTGCTCTGAGCAGACACACAACGCCACGTGACCACACTCAAATGCAGCCCCTTCCCTGCCTTGGGGGCCCCCGCCCCACCCCGCACCCAGCGCACAGGGCAGAGGCAGCCCTCGGCCTTGACCGCAGCAAAGGATAAATGGGGGGATGTGGGGCAGGTGAGCTGGGGAGCAGCCCCGGGAAGGGTGTGCGCGGCGACTCTGCCGTCCAGGGCGGACCCCCACACCTGCCCGTTTTCTGTGCAGAATTCCCAGGCGCTGGTGGCCCAGCTGGTGGCCTTGCCAGCGCCTCGGGGAGACAGGAGAGAGGCTGGAGCGGGGAAGAGGGAAGGGGCTGAGGACAGTGCCCATCCTCACGCAGTGTGGCATGGAGGCGGGCAGGCGTCCGGGCGCGTCTGGAGGGGCGAGGGGAGCCTGGGGGAGCCCGCATTAGCAGGCGAGGCGGGCAGCGCCCCCTCCTCCCACGTCTTCCGGACCTCTGCCCGCCCCACTGGAGGACGGAGGAGGAGGGGTCCTGGGTGAGCGTAACTGACAACACCGGAATGTGGCTGTCATCTGCCCAAGAGCTGTGGCTCTCAAGCCAAGATGACCAGGACACCTGCAAGCACCCAGGCACGTGAGCGCTCCACGGATGGGGGGGCGGGTGCCCGAAGGAGACAGTGTAGATACACACACGTACGCTTGTGTCTGTGACAGCCGCCCACTCTCCGTTCTGCAACAAGAAACGAACAAACGAACGAAGGAACCAGCTGCCGCTGCCCCCGCTGTGCGAGCCAGAACCTTCCGCAGGGGCAGACGCTGCCCCCAGGGCTCCCACCCGGCTCTGCTCCTCGCGGCCCCACTGAACGGCGAAGCTGAAAACATTTTCCGCAGAGAGAGCCCAAGCAAAGGCAGGCTCGTCTTCGACCAGGAAAGAACGTTTTCCAAGTGAGGAGGGAGTCAGGCTCTATGGAAGGGCAGTAAGGAGCGCCCCAGCCAGGTCTGAGGCGGTCGGCCATCCCCCTGACGTGAGAAACCGAGACCACAGGGCGCTGCAACCTGGCAGCTGCGCAAAGAAGCCGCCTCGAACCCGCCAGGTCCAGGCGGGTCACGCTAGACTAGAGGCCGTCAGCCCCGGGCGAAAACGTTCACATGTTGCACTTCGCAATCATTTGATATAAAAACAGTTCAGAGTTTAAAATCTTAGTCCATCTAGTTCCAAGTGAGTTTCTTCTGTCACAAAAGAAACATTCTGTGGGAGTCGCGTCAGCTCCCAGAGGCGCCTGTCACCGTTTGCTTTGGGGGCGACGACCCCCCCGCCCACCAGCACACGGCCCTTTCTCTGCTCTCCGAGAGGCTATTAAAAGCTGGAACAGCTTTCAGTCTTAGGAGACACCTGCTATGATTCACTCTCTCTTTTGCAAAAGACTTTTAATGAGAAAACCTGTGAAGGCATCAAAACGCTCTGACAGTTTCATCGGAGCCTTGTTTATTCCTTGTCAGAACAAGTTTCTCTTTCCCGACAAGGACTCGCAGAGATTTTACTGCATGGAGCTCACAGTAGGGGGACGTCATCTACTGTCCGAAAACTGTGGGCCTGGCTGTGGGTCACCACCAACGTGGCCTCTCACCTGGGGCCCTCCTGGCACGTGGGGAGCGCCCACCTTCTGGAACGTAGCAAGAGAGACGGCGTCTCTCTGTGAACAGCCTGGCCCCCGCCCGCGGCTGCGCGGGCCTTCCACCCAAGTCATGGCCTCCGTGGTCCCGTTCCTCAGCCGTCCCTGTGCCACCTCTCAGAGCCGCCCCCTTGGCCATGCTACCTGTGCTTGGGGGACTCGCACTCAGCTCATTGGTGACGAGCGCGGCCGTCATGCCTGTCGCTCTGGGACGCCGTCTGCGTCTGCCTCCCGCCCGGAGGGCAGCCGGGCCTGGGTGCCCCAGCTGGGCTCCCAGCGGTGCCAAGGCTGAGCCGAGTCCAGCACTGGGGACGGCAGCCGACTTCCTGTCCCCTCCACTGCCACCTTCTGGGCTGAGCATTCGGTCGCCTGCCCTGGTCCCGACTTATCGAGCCCCTCAGCCGCACAGAGGGTCGTCACAGACGCCCCAGTCAGCTCCGATGCATAGAAACCGAGGGACTCTTGGGTGACAAACGCCGGGCTTTGTGACGATTCGGTTGCCACAGGCCCCCGTGCCAATGGACCTGCGTGGGTTGGGCAGCCAGACTTCCGGAAACCTGGTGTTCTCTGCAGAGTGAGACGTGGGCCCAAGGGGTTCAGCCCTGGGAACTGAACGGCGCAAACTTGCAAGAGGGCAGTTGGCCACTTTGTCGTCTGTAACTGAAGTCTCAGCCACACGGCCCAGAAAACGGACGCCAGCACCCCAGGGGCCTGACCCGCCATTCCCGGCTCTCGGCACGAGCCGTGTGCTCCTCGCTTGGGCCTGGCCGGCCGTCTGGCGGCAAGAGGCTGCTCCCTCCCCTCCCTGCAGGCTGGCCCACAGCCACCTCCTCGCCTCTCTCCACGCCACCCCCTCTCTCCTTGATCCCTCGCAGGTTCCCTGGGTCTCCTGGGCACCAGCACTCGGCACTGGGGGGCAGGTGTCCAAGGGGCCAACCCCCAGTCAGTATTGTAAATGAACAATGTTTCAAACGACAGTCTAAACCAAAGCCGGACTGTAGCACGTGGCCCCCCTGCTCCCGCCCCGCGCTCTCGGGAGGGAGGTACGAGCGGGCGCCCCCCGGAGGGTCCCGGCTGCCCACCTTCAGGCGCAGGGGCAGGTCCTCGGGGCTCTTGCCGGCCAGCTCCTCGTCGTCGTCCTCCTCGTCCTGCAGGCACAGGTTGGGGGGGATGATGCCCTTGGCATACTTCTTGGTGATCTCCACGAAGTCGTCCAGCGCTATGTGGCTCTTGGCTGGAGCAAGAGAGAGAGGTGTGGGGTCCGCTCACACGGTCGGCACACGGTCACCATGTGTGGATGCGCACGGCAAGGGACAGAGGCTGGGCCCAGTTGAGAGCACGCTGAGGACTCCTCTCTGTCCCGGACAGTGGGCGAGGGCCTAGCCAATGAGGATGGCGGAGGCAGACACGGCTGCCGGGTGCCAGCCCCCACGCCCATCTCCTCACCTTGGTGACAGGCCACCCCTCCCCAAAGCGTTCCTCCCTCTGACCCTTTACGCCCAGGGTCTGCGGCCTGAGCCCAGCTCAAGTACCAGCCCCTTGCACCTCTTGGCCACTGTCTCTCCCTCAGCTCTGGCTTCTCACAGCACTGGAGACAGCTGCCCCGCCGCCCAGACACCTGTGACCCCTCTGCGCCACACGCACCCGCCGGGGGCCCCTGTGCGCCAGGCGTGTTCCAGAGCACCGGGCAGTGCTTGGAAGGGGGACAAGCCCAGTGTGTGCCCGAGTCTGGGCCCTCGGTCTAGCGGAGGAGTCACGCCCCACGAGGCCGGATGCACACAGAGAGCTGCGGCCACGTGGAGCACCCTCTGGCCGGCAGGGGGCGCTGGGAGGGTGGTGTGTGAAGGACCCCGGCCCTCACAGCCGTGGAGAGGCCGACAGCATAGGCCGGTCCTGCCCCGTCCGTCGGGCACCGGGTGTTTGCTGAGCCTCCTCTGTGGCAGCCACGGAGGAAACACAGGGTCCGGGCTGCGGGAGCACCGTGGGGCGGGGCGGGGGTCGCTCACTGACACGGGCGGACGGGGGCCACTCTGAGACGTGGCCTCCTGGCTGGAGAGACAGGAAACCGTGCGGTGACACTCCGAAGGCGGGGACCGTGCAGCAGCAAGGACACTGGGAGGAACAGTGCTGCCCCATGCCACTGCCCCAAGACGGCAAGAGCAGCCCGTGTGTCCCCAGCTGCTCGTGCCTCCAGAGGGCCGCTCGCCCCGGTATCCAGTCTGCCGCCAGGGCTCCGACGCTTTCCAGGCCGACTTCCTACCCGTGCAGCGGGGAAGGAGGCTGTGTGTCCCCTCTGTGTCACACCCCCTCGCCCCAACGCCACAGGAACCCCAGAGGCTGGCAGGGCCCCTCAGCCCCCTGAGGTGGCCATCGCTCACCTGAGGTGAGAAGGGGAGGCCCTCCCACCCGCGCGGTGGGCACCGCACACAGCGGCCCCGAGCGTGTCTTCTCACTGGTGTCCCAGAGGCACCCCAGCTCCCTGAGTCCCCAGTCCTCCCTCCCCTCCCGGCACGCTCTGCCCTACACCCCACAGCCCAGGCCGTGTGCGGAGCCCCCACGGTCCCTGCCGGGGGCCCCTGGTTCCTTCCACCTGCCCGCGGCCGCCGTACCCTTGCTGACCCTCAGGCGCCCCAGCGTGCCCACGGCCCCGCCTTTCCGCCCCGCTTGTCTTCCTGCAAAGGCGAGGCTCCCAGCGGGCAGGGTCCAGGTCCCAGCGCCCAGAACTGGCACCCATGATGCCTCATATGCTAGGGGGCCCTAGCCTGGATGCCACAGGACAGAGGGGACGCGGGACACGGGGCCACAGGCTCGCCGCCACGGGAAGCCGCTTTGGGTAGGGGACTTGTGGTCGTACTCACATTCGCTGCTGACCAAGCGCTCCAGCACCCGCCTCTGCTTCTGCAGTGACTTGGGCACGGGGCCCGGCTGTGCCCCTCCGTCTGTTGGGGACAGAAGGGACTGAGGGTCGAGGTAGGCTGACTGTCCCCACGTGTTCTGCAGCCCTCCACACTCGGCTGGGGACTCCTGGGGGTCCCCGAGCTCTGGGGACCGTGGGGCCTGGGGCCTCCCAGGCCAGACCGCTGCCCGGGGCAGCCACCTCTCGGCTCCTCCTGCTGGGCTGACAGTGCTCCCACGGGGCTCAGCCCGTCCTCTTTGGGGAGGCCGCCGTGGCACTGGACACGCCAGAGGGGAGACCTCCGGTTGGCGCCCGCCGTCCCCAGACGCTCCTGCTGGCTTGCCCCATGCTGTGACTGAGCTCCCCCGCGACACGGGCCAGGCCATCCCTGTGAGTCCCCAGCCAGGGCGCCGCAGGGGCGCCACCGAGCCTGCTCGCTGAGTGCAGCCAGGACAGCGCCAGCCTCGCCCGCTGGCCACACCCCAGCTGGGTGAAGGCTCACCGGGCAAGTCCTGGGTGGGGGCCGCTCAGGCAGAAGCCCCGCGGGGACGTGGGGGGGCTGGGCTGTGTCGCCGCAGGGCTTTCTGGGGCTCCATGGGGTGGCTGCTACTGTCACATCAGGCATGCCTTTCTGGGGTACCACCGAGCCCCAGGAAGGGGTTCCCAAGAACAGGAGGGTATCCCCCAAAAGACCCTCCCCAGGCCTTACAGGAGACACATGACGTCCCCACAGGACAGCCCCTCGTCGGGTGCCCATGGGGAAGGCCCCCCGAGTCCCAGCAGAGGCCACAGCACCCCGGGTGGGGGCACGCACCGTGCTCGTTGACCTGGTCCACGTTCTCCAGCAGCTCGGACACGGCCACCTGCTGCTTCCTCTTGGGGTTGAGCTTCCAGTACATGACCAGGGCCGCTTTGCGCACGGCCCGCTCCAGGTCGGTCTCGGAGGACAGCCGCCTCACCTCCGGCTCGTTCTCGGAAGTGATGCCTGAGGGACGGGGGCGTCAGGGCCTCGTCTGGGCGCCGGGAACCCTCGGCGACGCCCGGGCCCTGGCCAGCTCGGCTGGAGGGCGCCTGGGAAGGGACCTGTGCGGGAGGCTTTCCAGGCCCCTTTGGTCAGCAGGGCAGAAGAGGACATCTGACCGAAAAGGGCACGGGGCCTACGTCCCTGCCGGCGCCCATGCTCCGGTCAGAGGCTTGGCCTGACCCTCCACCCCACCGAGCGACCGTGGGTGGGCGCTGCCTGAGGCCGGCCCACCCTCCTGTGTAGCCTGTGTGACAAAGGTGGCTCCCAAGCATGACGCCAGAAGACCAAAGGGAGGCCGAGCGAACTGCGGAGAGCTCCTCTCCGGCTTCAGGGTGGCGGGTGGTTTGTATCTGTTTCCTATATAGTCCATTTTCTATGAGAACCATAAAATACTTCCATAACCTGAACAGAAGGCCATTAAAAAGACCGTTTATGACACACGTGCTTCCATCTTTCTCTGGGGTTTGAACTCCCAGGGAGCCCGCTCCTCCGTAAACACCAGGGCCCGGCGGTCTCCCCTGCAGGGCAACGTGTCAGCGGCCCCTCCTGGCAGCGGTGAGGCCGGCCTGCGTGGGCTGGGGGGGCCACTCCCCAGTCCGGACGGATACCCGGGGGCAGCGCTTGGAGAAGCCCATGTGAGCAGACGAGGGAACGGACTTCCTGTCAAATGCCTCGTGAGTTCTGTGAAAGCTACTACCCCACGGAAATCAGACTCTTGCTCAACAGCGTGGGCCCCGCTGGGTTTTTCCATTGTTGCTACCTTAGCCGTGACTAAGCAGGCAGGGCCACATCATGCGGTGGCCGCTCCGAGGCTCAGCGCACCCACCTTTTCGGTCCGCCAGGCACCGGCGGAGCAGCTTGACGGCCTCGCGGCGGCCCTGCTTGGCGGCCAGGGTCAGCCAGCCCACGGCCGTGCAGTTGTTGAGCTCCTCGTCCGCGTCCCCGGCCAGCTGCAGGTAGTGCTTCCCCACCTGCCAGGGAGGCGCCGCTCAGGCCGCGCTCTGCGGCCGCCCCGACGCCGAGCGGGTCCCTGCCCCTTGTCTTGGCGCCTGGCCTGATCCCCGCAGCCAGGCGACCTTGGCTTCCCGGGCCCTCCCCCTCCCCGTGCGCTGGGACAGAGGGGACACCGTGGACACAGTGCAGTGCTGGGCCTCTCCCTCCCTCGGGCCGCTGGGGTGCTCCCAGGGTTCCTTAATTGTATAACGTGCTGCCGCAACACATTCTGGGACCGCGAGCCTCCTCTGGTCCCCAGGCCAGGAAGAAAGGGGGCGGGCACGGGGTCCCATTGGTACCCGCACTAGGCTGGGCCCGTCGGACCCTCAGGGCGCGCGCTCCTCCCAGAATGAGGCGTGGGACCCCCTGCCCAGGTGCAATGAGAGTGGGGGCGGGGCATCCGGGGAGGGGGTGACACCCAAGGCCAGGTGAGCGCAGGCCAGGTGAGCTCCCCGAGGGCGGCGCACCAGGGGGGCCAGCCACACGGCAGGTGCCGTCACGCTGCCACTGCGGCCTGTCCACGCGGCGCCGGCCTCCATGGGCCGCAGGGCGCTCGCCCAGCCCGCTGCCGGGGGCTGTGGCTCGGGCCCCACCAGACACCGTGGGCCTCACCTCCGTCTGCGCCTTGGGGTCCCCGGCCTTGGCTTTCTCCAGGATTTCTTCAAAGGGGATTTCCGCGTCTCCCTTCGCGGGCCCTTTAACACAGAAGGAACAGTCAGAACGTCGCAGAGCTGGTCCTTGTGGCTGCTCCGAGGACTGCGGAGGACAGCAGGCAGGGGCTTCAGACCTGCAGTGGCTTCTCACGCGAAGCCTCAGGTCAGGAGTGTGAGGGGGAGGCAGAGAGGGTCGGTCCCCTGTGGAGCGCACCACCCGCCCGCCGGCCCACCAACATGGAGCAAGGACCGCGGACTCCGGGGGGGTGGGGGCCGTTGTCAGCAGCGGCCTGTCTCGGCTCTGTCTCTCCGGCAGGGCTTGTGGGAGGGAAACGAGGGGCACAGACGGGAGTCCCAGCATCGCCCCCCGGCGCGCGGCACCGGAGCGGCCGAGCACAGCCTGCCGGAACCGCAGCTCTAGAAAGCCTCGGACCTAAATGGCAAACCTGCGACCGATGCCCAGCCCCCCACAAATAAACCAAATTTGTGTTTTCCAAGATCGTAGTCTATACACGCGTGATTTCTGGAAGCTGTAATCACTGCACGTGCGTTTTGAGATAAGTATGTTTGTAACAGTGAATTACAACCCATTTCCCACACCTGGCTCTGGTGACACCAACCATTTCCATGGCTCCGGAAGCCCCACTGAGGGGACACCGTCCGGGGCTGGGCCTTGCCCTCCGCCGGCCGGTGGGGTGTTCCCAGCCCTCCTTAATTTTATAACGTGGTGCCTCACACCATTCTGGGTGCACATTTTTCCTCTGGGGGGGGGGGTTTATTCTCCTGGCATAGATCCTTCCATTGAATTTCTAGGTCCGAGGGTCCAAACGTTACATGGCTCCCTCATGTTACACTTGAACTTCCTCAGTTAGCTCAATTCACAAACGCATCTCGTTGGCGACACCAATTTCACTGCAACCTCACCTTTTTCCCCTGGAAAACAATCATTTTTACCCACCCCTTCCATGAGCTGCACAGCCCGTGTTCCGGGCCACGCCCGACGCCATGCCTGCCTCCGGCCGTTGCCCCCCCACCCCGTGGGCGGCAGGACACCTCGCAGTGACACGTGGATGTGGCTGCAGCCTTGCTGACCCCATAGCAGGTGCTTATGAGACATTAAGGAACTTTCCTCCCTAGATGTTTCTGGAAACAGGAGGCAGAACAAAAGGAAACGAGAGCAGTCCCCATGGCACCACCGCTGCCCAGCCTGCCTTGTCCTCTGCTCAGCCAGGCCCCCCCAGGCTCGGGGCCGGCTCCGCGGCGGCGATGCCTCCGGCCCTCTGTTTGGGGCACTGAGTCTACGGGACACGGGGCTCCAGGAGGAGGCAGCAGGGGCAGTGGCCTCAGGGGACACAGCCTTCGAGGCTCGAAGGCAGAGGCCACGTCCACTTGGGAGGAGGCAGGCGGCCCTTGGACAGCGCTGGGGGGAACGCTTCCCAGCAGGCTGCACCCTCACCCAAGGGCTCCCTGTCTGTGGCTCTGCGGCTGCCAAGGCGAGCGCTTGCTTGTCACCAACAGCCAGAGGCCTTGGGGACCCGGCAGTCCTGCAGGCTGCCGATCCAGCTGCGGTGACCCACTGAGGGTGGCGGACAGGGTGCCCCCGGCACCACGGGCCCCGCACAGTGCTCGCCCCCGGGATGACGTCACTCGTGCACTCCAGCCTCTCCTGCCCAGGGCCCTGGGGGGCAGGCCTGAGCCTCCACCCTCGGCCGCCCGAGCCTGGCCGGGGGCGACCCGGGCTGCCGATGCGTCCGGGCTCTATCCAGCCACCTCTGCTCTGCCCGCGCACAGCGCCTGGCTCTGCCTCTGTGACGCAGGGCTCCCTGGAGATGACCCAGGCACTGGGCACACGCTGGTGCTCCACCTGCGGTCACGGCTGTCACCGGCAGCCCGTCACAGCGGGCGAGCACGGACTTAGTGTGGGTTCAAACCCTGACTTCACCCGCACCAGCGGGGGCCTGGGGTCATCACTGGACCTCTTCCCCGGGTTCTCCCATCCGGAAAACGTCAGAGAAGGGGAGTGACGTTGGCAACGACTGACGTGGCGCCCGGCACGTGGCCTGCCGTTAACATTCGCTCTTGTTGTAACCTGTCGGTACATGACTGATGCTCCCTACACCTGCGCGAGACGGACAAGTGAGTTAGTTCGTGAGAACTGACCCGACAAGCTGCTCCCAGGCAGCTGTTCTCTGACCTGCGCAGGGCCTGCTGCGTCCCCATCAGTGGCCAGTGACAACACAGAGTGGCCGGGAAGGTGACAGCACAGCCCAGGGAGCCTGAGGCTGCCACCCTGCCCGCCCCTCCCCTCCTCTCAGGGGCAGAACCAAACAGAAACTACATCTGCTTCCTGACTCTTCTTATCTGAAGCTTACAGTCCAGACTCTGTCCGCCCAGGGCTGCTGTGCATTAGCCAGACTGAAACCAAGCCTGGCCCTGGTCCCTGGCCGTGGCCGGGCTGAGATTCCAGGCGTAGCCCTGGCCTGCCCAGACCTCGGAGATAAAAGCAGAGAATGTGGGGACTGTTGCTGGAGACTGGAGATCAGAGGCCTCAGCAGCCCAGCCTGGGGATGGGGGGGGCGGCTGGGGGGCCCGCAGGCCAAGCAGAGCTGCCTGCCCACGTGGCCCGAGGAGCGGCAACGGCGGAGAGGGGACAACACGGCTTCCCAGAGCGCTGCGTGGGCCCAGAGCCGGGGGAGGGGAGGCCTTTCTCCCGCCTCCCCGTCCCGGTACCTGGTGCGGAACCACCCACTAGCCAGAGGGCAGAGCTGGAGCTATTCGATTATAAATAAAATAAAACGTGAGGTCTGCTGTGACCCAAGCCGGAGAACGCAAGAGCAAGGCCTGCTGCGCTGGTGGGGGCTGAGAGGGCCCGGTGGAGGGCTGGGCCCTGAGCCACAGGCGAAGCCTCCAGGAGGAACCCCGAGGGGCACCAGGACCACGTGTGAGGACACGGTGCTCACCACGTCCAGGGGACAGCCCCGCTCCCCAGGCCCCGTCCCCCTTACCTGTTCTGTCCACTCTTTCTCGGCTCCTGGCACGAAGGGCCTGGGGCACCGTGGGCGCTGCTCCATCTCCCACATCTGCTCCAGGTCTGAGCTGGGGCCCAGGAGCTTGGGGCTCCCCATTCTTCTCCTGTCTCACCGAGGAAGTGCCATTGAGCCGCGGGCGGGCCTGGGGCAGCAGGGGTGGTGGAGGCTGTGCGCCGAGGGGGCTCGGAGGGGCGCTGGAGTCCATCCTGCCGGCGAGAAAAGCGGCCGGTCAGACGCACCAGGACTGACCGAGCTCAGCTGGCTCTGGCCTCTGGCTCCTGGTAGAAAGAGGGGCAGCCCCGCATGCTCTGTGTGACCACATCCTGCCTCACAACAGCCCTATAAGGCCACCCTCATTATACAGACGAGGACATTGCGGGGACAACACATTCAAGGCCATCTGGCTCAACAGGTCCCAGGAGCCAGGTGCCCAGGCCCCCACAACTGAGGCCTCAAGTCCCCGCCTTAAGCGACACCAGCCACATGGCCTGGGTGACAAGCTGAAGCAAGGAGGCAACAAGACATCCCACACGGAGCACCAGGCAGTGCCTGGCTGTGTTGGGTTGAATGGTGGCCTCCATATGACGTGTCCACCCAGCGTTTGTGAAGATGAGCCGACTGGGAATCAGGGTCTCTGAAGATATGAGTAAAGATCTTCCTGGTTCGGGCGAGCCCTAATCCAGTGACTGGGGCCCTTACAAGGACAGGAGGGAAACGCAGGGACGCAGAGAGGGGACCGCACGAAGAGAAGGCAGAGGCGGAGACTGCAGCCAGGCAACCGCGGCCCACGGAACCCAGAGCCACCGGCGGCCACCAGAAGCTGGAGAGAGGCCAGGGAGGCGCCGCCCTCGGAGCCCCCAGCAGGAGCAGAGGGCAGGGGGGCGGGGGGGGGTGGCCAGAGAGGGCAGGACCAGGATTTAGTCCGATCTGCTCCGCTCCAGGCCGACCGCAGGACAAAAATCTCAGAACGTGAATGTCACCCAAGAGGCACACACACTGAAAAACAGCGACATAAGTTGTGTGCAGGGTCTGAGAACCGACGCCTAGAACAGACAAGCGCACGCAGGTTCTAGGGCTATCTCGTGACGAGGGGAAGGGCTCATCGTCCACAAAAGGGGCCACACACACCACCGACAGGCTGGGGCGGCCACAGGCCACAGGCCTGCCAGCGGAACCGGCAGCCCTGGCTGGGCTCCGAGGGACTTCACCCCATGAAATTGCGGGACCGCGTGCGCACTGTGAGGGGGTCCTGGGAGGCTCTTCCTCAGGCTCCCGAAGGCCCCACTGCGCCCCTCTCCCATGACGTGGCGTTCCTCCGCATCCGCCTGCTGCCTGCCCCCCCGCCTGTGCCCTGGCAGGGCCCCCCCCCGCCGGTGCCCATCCTGGCTGTACTTCCCCGGCCGACGGGGGAGGACGGTGATGAACGTTCCGGCCCCTCCGTATGGGGTGCCGCACTATACAGCCGTTACAGGACCTCACACACGGACGTTTACAGACGAGGGAAACGTGTATGTAACGCTGTCTAGCAGGATTTAGAGCAACATGAGATATGAGCCTTAGTCTACTTAGGATGAAAACAAAGTTTATCTGCAGAAAAAGATGGAAGAAAATGCCTCCAAAAAGGTAAATACTGACTATCTCTGGGTGGAGGAATTACAAGTGTTTTTTATTTTATCCTTTTTCTAAACATACATCCTTAATTTTGGATAATGAATGGGGAAGCTTTTTGGAATTATAACCAACTGCTATTTTAAACCCCACCTGTGACCGAGCCCTCACTGGGGTGGCCTACGGGTTCCAGGCCTGGGCTGCCTGCTCCGGCCCAGCTGCTGGCACGGGGCAGCTCCTCAGGGCAAGGGCACGGGGCAGCTCCTCAGGACAAGGGCACGGGGCAGCTCCTCAGGACAAGGACACGGGCCCTGGGAGGCTCCCAGGCCCCTATTTTTGCCCCAGAGCACTAAGGGCCAGCCAAGGAACGTTACGGCTCTCCCCAAATGCCAGGCTCCCAGGAACACGGGGAGTCGCGTGGGCAATGCGCAGGGCAGTGGTCACGCAACGCCGCAGCGTCTGTCTGCCCAGCGGCTGAGCCCCCGCCGGACACTGGGCGCCTGGCCTGAGCCCCACCCGACCCTGTGCCGGGCACTTCTCGGGCCTCCGTGCCCGGAGAAAGCCCCAGTGGGGCCGGCCCTTGAGAACTCAGTCTGCGTGGGGAGGGCGGTACCTGAGCAGACACTCCAGCGTCGGGGTGCAGGGCTGCAGGCGGGGGGCAGGCGGAGAGTGGCTGTGTAAATGGGGCAGGGCAGGGGTTCTGGAAGGGGGGCCTGGGCTGAGCCTTCAGGACCGGCAGGCCTGAGCCAGGCAGGGGTGGAGGGAGGGAGGGGGGCGTCGGGCCTTCCAGCGGGGGCTGCCCCAGAGGAAAGGCAGCAGATGGCGTGGGAGCCGGCGCTGTGGCTGGGAAGGTGCAGGGGGCTGGGAAGGGGCCTCTGGGGCGGGGACACAGGTATGAGTGGGAGGCAGGGGCCTGGCCGGAGCGCCCGAATGAGCCCCAGGCCTAGGGCCAGAAGGAAATGCAGGACGGTGCCGAGCAGGGAAGTGGCCGTTCAAGAACCGTCAGGGCTGTGTGGGGGCCTGGTGGGGGTCCGGGAAAGGGGTCCAGCGGCCGCCCAGGGAAAGGCGAGGGGGCCTGGCCCAGCGCAGGCCTCTGGGCCCGGCTTTGGAGCCGGGAGGGACAGCCGCATGGGAGGGGTGCAGAAGCAGACGGGGGCTGGGTCTGTGGCTGAGGACCCCGGGGGCGGTGCCGCTCTCCGAGGGGGGACGTGGCGGCAGAGGAGGGGGAGCAGCATGAAGCCTGACACCCCCTCTGTGTTGATCCTTCTCATCGCCGCTGCCACCACGGACCAGCCTTGGCCTCTGTTCTGCAGCACAGGCATTGGGCGGGGGGCAGGACCGGGCTGGGCTCGCCTCTGGGACCAGACCCCAAGGCCTGCCTGGCTCTGGCAGGGGAGGGCAGAGGAGCGCACGTGGGGAGCCCGTCCACATGGCTTCCATCCTGGGAAGGGAGGCGAGAGGTGGTCCCCTAGCCACCTTTCCCGCATCCAGTCAAAGGCCCACCTGCTGGGGAAGGGGGGGGTCAAAAAAAGTCCATCGAAACCCCTGCTCAGATGCCCAGGGGCCCCCATGAGGATCGCAGGGGGGCACGAGGGCCAGCGGGGCTGCCGGGCTCCCCGGACAGCTCGCTCACCAGGGATGCCGTGCGGTCAGGCAGCCAGGGCACCCCGGGCCTCTGCCAGCCGCCGGCCCCGGCAGGAGGGAGAGCCCTTCACAGGGGCCTGAGCCGAGGGGAGGAGAGGCGCGGCTGAGCGTGGCTGGGCAGGCCGCTTAACCCCAGGCTGCGGCCGCCTCTTCATGAGAAAGGGAGCTCAGATTCCTACTCCTAAGGTGACCCAGAGGGTTAAATACTGTTCATTCCTTAACATTTCTTATCATCAGCAACCAAAAATGCTGTGAGAACATGGCTCCATCAAGCCCAAAAGCGCCGGGCCAGATTTCCCAGAAAGCTTCCATCTTTCAGAGCTGAAATTAACGTTCCCGAGGGACAGGTTCACCTCGGCCAGAGCGTTGGGGCTGCCATCCCCCGCCCCCTTCCCCAAGAGGAGCCCCAGGGGAAAGGGAACCCATACAGATTCTAAGTGAGTTGCTAGCGCTTTAGCCTGACCCAGAGGCTGTTACTCAGGCGGGCCGGTCCCCACTGGCTGGCCGAACCCTCACTACCTCCCTGAGTCCCCACGTGGGGGCCCCGGCGCCTTGTAGCGGCCTGGCAGGCCCTGAGAACGGCCCTGAATCTCGCCGACGGCAGCGGGGGAAGGGCCATGACGGAGCAACTCGGGCCGATGCTGTGGGGTCGGGGCGCCCCTTGCCACCCGCCGGGACCCCGCGCTACAGGCCGCCTGTCTTTCGGGCCTGTTTTCGCCCCGCAAGGGAGTTTCGCGGCGATGATCGCGAGCGTGAAGCGTTTGGAGTGCGCGGTGCCCCATGATTCCGGGGGCGCTGGGGCTCAGGGGGCTCTCACCCTGTAGAAAGACCTCACCCGGGCAGGGGTCGCGATGGCATCGCGGAGCAGGCGGGACCTCGGCCCTTCAATATCTGGGGAACTTGCAGGAGGGTCTGGGACGCTGGGACCAGCCGCCCGTCTGCTCTTACGGGGAAACTGAGGCTCTGAATCGGCGGCGCTTGCCGGCGATCCTAAGTCTCTTTCCAGCCCCCCGCGCAACCGTCCCATGCCCCAAAGTACTCACTAGCCCGCAAGTGGGCCGCACGCGGGGCCGCGACGCCCTTGGCCCTCTGGGCTCGGTGCAAAGTTGCTCGGGAGGAGCTGGACTCGCTGGGGCCGAAGGGAAGCAGCCGGGACAGGCGGGCGGCGCCAGCTGCAGCGGGAGACTGCGAGTGCGGCCCTCGGCACTGAGGGGGCGGGGCCAAGGGCGGGACCCCAGGCCTCGCTCCACTCCTGACAGGGCCCGGAGGACGCAGCGCTGCCTCGGCCCACTGAGCGGTCGGTGCTCCTGCCAATAACCGCACATCTCCGCCAATCACGGCGCGCCTCGCCTGGCTGCGGCCGGCTGGACTGCGGCGCAACCACGCCGAAGGCCCCCGCGGGGGCGGATCCAACCGCTAAAGTTTCGGAGCGGACTCGGGCCTCGGCCCGCCCCTCCCTGGCCACGCCTGCAGGGAGGCGTGTCTCTTGGCGAGACCTCCGTCCTCTGTGACAGGTGGGAGGACCCTTGGGCAAAACCTGTGCCAGTTTTCACCCACGCCTCGGGTCCCCAACTTCAGATTCATTATACTTGCTATTGCACTACTAACTAACAGGTTGAGCGCCTCCTATGCGCCAGGATGCCTTCCTTAATTCCAGCCCCGCTACAGAGGCGGCCTCCTCTGATAGAGCGGCAGGGATAGAAAAATGTGGCGCATTCAAGTGTGTACATGCAGCCCAGTGTTTATTGAAGTGCACAGAATCGAGTGCACGTTGTGCACTTTTCACAAGGTAATAGTGGGGGTGCGTTTAAGAATATATATTAGCCCAGGAAGTGACGCAAGGCTAGGAGGTTTGGAAACCCACTTTCTTCATTGATCATGTCCCGCGCCTGGCAGGCGCGGTTTGGAGATGAGGGCAAAGGTCTGCCCGCTGGACCGTGGGGATCTTGGGACTGTGAGGCCCTGGCCCGTGGCATGGGGGGCCCCTGGGCTGTGTCTGCTCCATGTGCGGTCCTTTGAGGAGACTCAGGAGGTAGAGGGAAGTAGAGGGAAGAGGGAAGATGGAACAATCTTCCTGGAGAGGGCTAAGGACAGAGAGAAAGTGAACTTCAGTACAAGTGTACGAGACTGCTCAAGGAGTCTGGGTCAGAGCATAAAAACACTTCACATACTCTGCAGAGCTAAAAACTCTAAAAGTCGTAGGCAGGTGCGGAAAGAGCACAGCCCAGGTGAGGGAAATGAGCCAACTGGAAGCACCCGTGGAGTGGATAAGCGCCTCAGCGTGAAGGGAAATCACGGGAAAGCCGCCAGGGAGCGAAGGCGAGGCTGGCAGGACTGGCCCAGGGGGTGCAGCCTTCCCGGAACAGGAGCTGCCGAAGGAGCTGGAGGGAAACAGAAGTGAAAGGCATGCAAGAAGCAAACGTCCCTGGGCTGGCGTGGGCATGTGCCGTCTCTGGCGCTGAGGGTGAGGAGAAAGGTCTGCATGTTTCCAAAGAGGGCTGGTCACGTCCAAAGGCAGGAACCGGAGTGGTACCGATTCCTAGGGGACTTTGGGAAAATGTCCAGGGACTCTGATTATCTGATGGAGGCTTCCCCCTGCTGTGATGGAATTCATTGTTGAGGCAAAGGCAGGAACACAGGGACGTGATAAGACAGAGGGCCCCACGCTGCTTCCCTTTGCCCACGGGAGTCCCCCTTGTCACCGAGGCAGTTCAGTCATAGCCCAGATTCTCAGGACAGAGCAGGCGTGGAGCACAGGAAACGGTGGCGAGTCATGACCCTTGCAAAATACGCGGTTTAAGCTGAACACGCCTGGGATTTTGTTCAGTAACTGCTGCGGGTAAGGAGAGCCTGTGGTACCCACCCAGGGCGTAAAAAACAGAGCCCATCTTAGCAACCCCAGGAGCTGAGGGAGCGAGGGGGGAGTGAAGCCAGGACATTCGCAGGTCACATCTGATTGGGGGGACACAGAGGGAGTACAAGGGTCTGTCTTGTGCCTGGGGGGGGGACTGGGAAAGGAAAATCTCAGGGGAGGGCGTGTCATTACCATTTATTTTTAATACATTATACATTAACAGCGAAATAGCCGCTTAATTATGCTCCCTCTAGCTTCCCCCTCCCCTCAGCGCCCCCCGCTTTTCTGTGTTCCTTTATAACCCTGAGCTCACAGTCCGCTCTGCGGTCTTTGGAATCGCAACAGAAGCGGCCAGAGCTCTGACAGAGGGCTTGGGGCTGGTCACACGGCTCTGTGGCACCAGGGCTGGGTGCTGTGCTGGGGGGAGGGCCTTCTCTGTCCCACCCACCCACCCACACCTGCCCATGCCTCAACCCCCTCCACGGGCACACCCACCCACCCACACCGCCTCGCTGCCGGGTAGCTCCGAGCCCCTCCGTGAGTCTGCACGGTCCCTTACTCATCTCCGAAGGGACAGAAGCAACGCCACTTAAAGGCCTTGCAATGAGTCATCAAGCACATTTAGAAATTCCATATGGACAGAAGAACATTGAGGCTGTGAGGGCGACTCGGACAGAAGGACAAATGCCCGCTCAGAGGGGAGCCAGTGTTCCAAGACCTCCCCCGTGTCCCTCTTATCCCACTGCCGCTAGTCATTAGCCATCTGTGGGGGTTCTCCAGAGAAACAGAGCCCACAGGACCTATAGAGAGACATAGAATGTGGTTTATTAGGAGGAATCGGTACACGTGGTTGTGGAGGAGAGCAGTCCCACGACCTGCCACCTGCAGGCTGGAGCCCAGGACAGCGGTGGTGGAGTCCGGTCCTCTCCGAAGGCCCCAGGGCCAGGGGCCCCGGTGTCTGAGGGTGGGAGAAGGTGGCTCACCTGTCTGGCCTTTTGTTCTTTCAGCCGTAAAGGGATGATGTCCGCCTACCTTGCGGGGGGTAGGAGGCAGGCTTAAGTGCTAGTCTCTCTTGGAGACACCCCTAGACACTGAGAATAAGGCTTTGCCAGCCATCTGGGCACCCTTAGCCCGGCCACATTGCAAGAGGAGCCACTGATGGCTTGGTCAGCAGGCTTCAGGGCTCCGTCACCAGGGCTGGGCAGAGGCGGCAGGGACGTTTGCTGAGCACGCCCATGTACCCGACACCTCACATCTCTCCTTTGGTGCCAAGTCCATCTTATAAAGGTTGGGGTGCGGGCACTGAACACCTACTATGTGCTGCCCCTCAAGCCACCCTGGGTGCCACAGCAGAGATGGAAATACTTCATCCCTGCCCTGGAGGGGCTTCTGGTTCAGATGCTGGAAACACTGGCCACCCGGCAGAGAAGGGGAAGGCGATAGCCACGGGGAAGCCATGCTGCCCGCAGGTTCCTGGCAGAGGGGAGACATTGACGCTGGCTGCGGTGGTCAGGGAAGGCTCCCTGGAGGAGGTGCTGACTCACTTTTTCCGTCTCCTCTTCTCCTCCTCCTTTGGCTTCTTTTCGTAGACTTTATTTCCTAGGGCAGTTTTAGGTTCACAGCGGAAGTGAGCAGGAGGTACCGAGCTCCCGTATACCCGCTCTCTGCAGCAAGCCCAGCCTCCACCTCTGTCCGATCCTTTGCCGGGGGTGTGCGGGTTACAATCAATGAACCCCCCTGGGGGGCACGCCATTGTCACCCAGAGTCTGCAGTTTACAGCGGGGGTCGCTCTCCGTGCTGTGCCGTCTGAGCATTTGGACAAATGTAAAATGACAGGTACCCGCCATTGGAGCTTTGTGCAGAGCACCCTCATGGCCCTAAAGATGCCCCACGCACCGCCTGTTCTCCCTCATCCCCCCGCCCCCTGGCAGCTGGTTTTTCACTGTCTCCATAGTTGTCTTCCCCAGAGTGTCATGTTGTTGGAATCACAGAGGATGTAGCCTTCTCAGATTGGCCTCTGTCCCTTGTTGTCCCTTAGTGATACGCATGTAAGGTTTCTCTGTGTCTCCTCAGGGCTTGGTAGCTCATCTTGTTTTAGCACCGAATAACATTCTATTATTGTCTGGGTGGACCACGGCTTATTTGCCCCTCACCTACTGAGGCTCCTAAGGGGGGCTGCCCTTATATCCAAGAGCCGAGCGTGGAGGTCACCAGGTGACTCCTGGGCCCCTCTGAGGATCACCCCGGAATAGCCCGGACCCTATGGGCTGTCGGGAAGGTCTGCGAGCCTCCTATGGGGAGGCGGCCAGCCCAGCGCCAGCGCACAGCGGGCAACTGGATGCTGGCCCCTCCACCTCCCGCCAGGAATCACGCCTCTGCTCCTGAACGGTTCCTACCTTTGGTGGCTCCTGAGATCCACGCGGCCCTGGGAGTCAGGCTATCCCCGGGTTACAGGCGGGGAGTCAGAGGTTCCGAGAGGTTCAGAACGTGATCGAGGTCACGCTGTGACACCTCTTTTGTCTGATTGTCCCCAGTCTCTACTGCTCTGCCAGCCCCCCCATCTGAAACCCAACACGCTCACCAGGGTGGGGGTTCAGGTGGCTCTAAGGAGAGAACACTTGTGCCTCCAAAGGCCACTTTTACCCCCTCCCGCCCGCGGCCCGGCAGGGGCCCCTACCTCCCTGCGCCTTCGCTGGGTGGGCGGGTGGGGGAGCGGCCCTCCCTCCCTCTCCTCCTCCCCCCTGAAGTGACAAGCTTTCAGTCCTCAGTTCCTATTGTCATCTTGACAAAACCCAGAGGTGGTGGGAGAGGGAACTTCCTGTCACTGCAGCAGAAAACAATAGGAGAAAACTCAGGCACATAGCACTTAGGGGGAGCCAGGAGGAGCTGGAACCCCCAATTCCACACCTCCCCCGGACTCCGCAGATGCCTGCGGGGCTCAGCGGCGGCTCCGAAGGGCGCAGACACGTGCGGATTGCAGGTTGGCAGAGAAAGCCGGGGGAGCAAAGCGCTCTCGATATCTGTGGGAGCAATTTGGACAGTTTTTTGACATTCATTAGAAATATAAATTACCCAGAAAGCTTACTGTGATCATAGATCATTATTTTCCCTACATTTTCATACAATGGGAGCTGTCAGACTCCGGCTGCACCTTGCTTTGTGGCACGCCAGTGACCTTGTGGATGAGACAGGAGAAGGGGCCTGGGGGGGAGGGGGGCCTGGGCAGTGCCTCGGGACCGCCCCTGTGTGGGACGTGGTGCACTGCGCGAACTCGTTGAATTGGATTTTCCCTGGAGAAAACAGAGAAGCAGCGGCGGCTCTTCTCCACTCGGCTCGCCTTTGTCCTGG